CTTTATACTCGTGTGTGCCCATGCAGCGGTCGTCGTCGTCATCGTCTTGGTGTATATATAAGGCACACACGGAGCGCGAACTGCGAGAAAAGAGGAGAGCCTCTATTTATGTACACGCAACGTGTGTAGAACTTATAGTAGTGCAGAGAGAGAGAGAGAGAAGAGCAGCGATGGCCAGTTGGAAATGTAAAAAAATATATAAGCGCAACTCTACGTTAGGATATGTACAACGCGTCATTTGCGTGCGTGTGTGTGTGTGTCTGTACTGCCTCGGAGGGGGAGAGTTGTCCGGAGTAAAACGCTATTATATGCGCGCGCCCGTCTATATACGTATATATCGCATGCGGAATATACTGCAAATAGGTGTAGGTAATAATGCTATATGGTCGAGCAGCAGCAGCAGCAGCAGCCCCCAGGTGTGTGTGTGCCTCTGCGCGCGTATACACGAGCAACGACTAGGCGCATTTGTCTCTGTACGCGTTTGCGAGAGAGAGAGAGAGAGAGAGAGAGAGACTATATGGGCACACACAATACATATAACGACGAGCGACGAGCGACTGGTATGGGCAAAAACGCACGAGCGCACACACACGTAGGTATATAGACGGACAGACACACGAGCGGTGGCGAAAAGTGTCGCGTACCCGACTCGACTGCTATATATGTGACTCGCTCTCGCTCTGCGCGATGACAAAGATAATAATCGCGCACGCACGCGCACGCAAACTCGTATCGGACGCGTGCTATAACGAGAAAACGGAGCAGAGACACACTGAACACGGCTGTAGTAAGCGGCCTCTATCGCTCGAGGATAAGGAAACAGCCAGAAGCGCAGCCGAATTTTCCGGGTAATCGTTGTTGTTTCTCGCGTGCGTGCGTGAGATTTAAAAACGCGCTACACTATATTATAATGGCAGCAGCAGAGATCGGAGTCACGCGGGTTTCCGCTGCCGCTGCTGCTGCTGCAGGTCGCGGCTCAGTACGTCGCATCTGTTCGCACACACAAAAACGCTCTCTCTGCCTTTTGCCGCAAAACACGAGCTGCTGCTGCTGCTGCTGCTTTCCGAACGTTTCGACAAAATACATTACGTATTATTTGTGAGCGTGACGTACACTGTGCTCAGGCAGCAGCAGCAGCGGCATATGCGAAGAGAGCACAGCTCGAGCTCTGGCTCCGAGAGAGCACCGCCACGGCTCGTTGTATATGCTGCTTCGCTATGCTTATGTGTGTGCCTGCAGCAACAACGCGCAGCAGAGTACGTGTATCCGCGTTTATATATATAATATTACTTATATGCACGTATATATATGTGCGCCTCTGCTCGCGAAGTCTTTCTTTCTCTCTTGTGTGCTGCTGATGCAGCTCGCTGCTCTGCGGGCAGCGGCGCGAGTTCAACGAGCGAAACACGAAGACGACGACGACGACGTTACATATATAAGTGAGAGCCGCAGCAGCATCGTTGATCTTCTTACTCATCGTGGCGCACACGCGAGTATATATATTTCGCGATCCGCACACTCTGCTCATGTATTAAAGTACGTATATATATAAAAGCTGCGTTAAGCTGCGGCGCTGGCACGCACGATCACGCGCGCGCGAAGAGATGAGTTTCGAAAAATAGTTGTCGCGAGCGAGCGAGAGAGAAATGATTCGGATGGTCCAGACGCGCACGCATATCTGCTGGTCGCCGCTGCCTCCTCGGCTCGTTTCTTGCATATTATACGTATATGCGCCTGTACTTTGTGAAAATTTTTTGTTTCACTCGTTCTCGCTCTCTTGGTCGATCGGCTTGGTCCTCCGCCTCCTTCTCTTCTTCCTCCCGCTCTCTCTCTCTCTCGGTGTTGGTCTTCTTCTCGTTCGTTTAGCGCAGCGCATCGTTTCGCAAAAGCCATCTCGCGCTGCATGAAAGAGAGAGAAAGAAGCTAAAGAGAAGCACAAGAGAGAGAGAGAAAGAAAGATATATGCGCGTCTACTACTGCATTCCACTCGTCTCTCGATGCAGAAGCCTTTTTTGTTGTTGTGTCTGCTGCTGCCGCTGATGCTGATGCTGCTGTGGTGTGCACGGGCACCAAAGTTCTCTCTTTCTCTCGCACAGCCACAGCCGACAACGAGACGAGACACATGCACCGCACACACACACGCGCGAAAGAGAGTGAGAGAGAGAGAGGTAGAAAACGAGGAGAGGGATTTTTGGGAGCAAATATCATCGGGTCCGAGCCGCAGAGAGCGCGCGCGACAGCGAATAATAGAAAAGTCCATGATTTAGAGCGTAATTTCAATCGCTTGCGAGAGGCAGCAGCAGCACACAAACTCGCACATCGTATACCCACACGCTATACGCCCGGCCTGCGCTTCACTCTAGCACGAAAAAAAAAGCGAGCGAGCGAGAGAATAGGAGAATGAGAGAGACAGGAGAGAGAGAGAGAGAGAGAGAGAACGAACCAATAGGCAAGCAATGTCCTCGCGCGTCCATGGCTTATCGATCTGATCTTCTTTTCTGCGCTCTCTCTCTCTCTCTCGCTCTCTTCGGCTGTGTATCGGTGTGCGTGTGTGTTAGCTTGTGTACCGCTGGTATACGTCCGTCCGTCTATGTGTGCATCCAGTGTACGTAGGATTCGAAGTTATATATTTTTCAGCTGCTGCTGCTGCTCTGCGCCTCTACTACACCCGACGCAGCACCAGCAGCAGCAATGGCAGAGCCAGCAACAACGGCTCGCAGCAGCCACAGCAGCAGCTCGCGTGATTAATAATCTTGCCTATATATACACACACACTCACAACTCACTGTATGCACGTAGATATATAGGCGCTATATGCATGCATCGGCGGGGCTTAACATAGGTATATATACAGCAGACAGAGAGAAAGAGATATAGACGAGAGTAAGAATAGAGAGAAGCGAGCGAATAATAATACCTATACACACATCGATCCGAAAGGATGTAACGCGCCGCGTATAACTCGATGACGCACTCCTCCTCTATATCCTTCTTTCCAGAGAGAGATAGAGAGAATGCAGGTACTTTCGGACGAGGCGAGGAGGCGAAGGTTTTTTTCAATCGCGCCCGATCCGCGAGGAAAATCAAATCCTATATCGACCAAAATGAAAAAAAAAAGAAGAAGCTGAGCGAGCTAGAGGATTAATATAGAATCTTTTTCACGATGAGACGCGCGAGGCAGCATCAGCTTTGCGCACAAATGCACCTCTCTGACTCTCTCTCGCTCTCCGAGCCATCGGATAAATTAGTAAAGCTTTTTGACTATCGCACGAAATTTTTTGCCTCCCGGCGGTGGCGTGGTAGATCATCAACGCATCGCCGTCATTCTTTGTATTAAATAGTCGAATGGCTCTCTACGCTATTGCACCCAATTTCTCTTACCTATATAATATACAGGACTTTATACGCGTGTGCACTTATGCGTACGATATATAAGTGCTAGCGCACCGTAGCCAACGCACACACATACACTGTCCCAAGCATTCAAACTATTCAAACTGCTCTCTCTCTGAAACGCGATCTTTTCTCCTCCCTTCTCTCCCTGTATGCCGCCGCCGTCGCTGTTTGCTGCTGCTGTTTCATTTTTTACTTCTTTTCTTTTTTTTCATCGGGTGCGAGAAAGAAAAGATTCCGAACCTGACTGACAGCAGCTGTGTGTGCGCGCCATGGCCTGGCCTGCCTCTGCGTGCAAAACTTATCCTCGTATCGCGCGCGCGCGCACCTTGTTGTTGCGCGTTATATTATACACACGCACACGCACGTAGTAGAGCTATATACAACGCAACGCTCCTGCTGTTCGCCCGCTCGCTCGCACTGCCTTTAACCATTTTTTTATGCTCCTTCGTGTGTGCATATATACTACATCGAGTTTGCGCAAGTCCGTGCCTCGAGGCTGTCGTTGTTGCTGCTGCGTTCGGTTGGCTCGTTGTCGAGCTTTTTTTCTAAACTGTGTACGATGTATTGCTACGTCGATTGTCTGTTTGACATAATTTAGCGCTGATTACGTTTTGTTCTTATTATAAAAGCGCGATACGATAACGATTCGCGCCGCCTGCATGTAACAACAGCACCGACAGACAGAGAGAGTCCTTGAACTTGAAAATTACCAAGCGCAGATAAAACCTATTAACGGGCCTTTATTAATGCGCCAATGCTCGGCTCGACTCGGAAAGAGAGAGAGACAGTCGTCGTCCATTTCAATAAGCACTTGTTTACCTATACTTATTAATTTGGCCGAGGTAAGGCAGGCGATGCTTATGGAGCAGAGACTCGGAGGAGAAAAAAAAACATCGTTAATTTTTTACGAGGTGTGTGCGCGCGGAGCAGCAACGGCGGCGACGGCAGCGGTCGACGTTATTATTATCGTCGCTCTCAAACACAGAGAGAGAGAGAGAGAGAAGTAATCGAGCGATATACCTGTGCGCGCGAAAGTCGTTCTCTTCCAAGGATATACAATCTTTTCTCTCGTCGTCGTCGTGTGTCTCGAAGGCTTCCTCTCGATGCGTATAATGGCAAAAACTTCGGGGGCAGCAGCAGCAGTCCCCGAGTGCGTGGACATGGCATACGCGGCCGGCATAAGAATGAACGACTTTTTTTTTCTTTACTCTCTCGCATCGACAATGCCCTACTCGTAGTAGTCAGCCAGCGCGTGTGTAATATTTATTTTTGTTGCCCATACGTCGCCGCCGCCGCTGCTGCTCTCGTTGTTGTTGTTGTTGTTGTTGTTGTTATTGCCTCTCTTTATTCGCTCCTTTTTTTTTTTTTATTGTATTTTCGTTGCTTCCGCACTTAATTGATCGATGAACAACGCGCCGTGTTGTTGTAGTACGCGCTGAGAGTGAACGAGAGAGAGTGTGTGTATACAATTGTTCCGCGGAGCTTTTATAGCTCGTTAATCATTCCATTATATTTTATTATTGACATTTTCGTGAAGCTCACGGAGGCATGAAAACTTGACTCGGCTCGACTAATAACCGCTATTAAACTTTGTTTGATTACAGGTGTGATGAAGGATTTGAGAAAGCGACAAAAGTATGAGCTGAGGTCCCAAAATTAATTGTGAGTATACGCCAACTTTTGTACGTCATACCTTTTTTTTGTATTTTAAAAGGAGAGCAAAGTATAGCTACTCACGGATAAACTGCGTTAAGGAATTACGTAAGTTTAGTGGGTACCTGTTAAAAGTATACGCAGAGCTCCTATATATCCACCTGTTTCTCTCGGGCGCGCGGATAATCGCCGCGGCGGCTATGCGGAGGGGAGAAATTTCATTACTTGTAAATCATCGTTCGCTCGCGGTTTTCACGCACTCGCGATATAATAATATAATCGCGGCAACAAAATGTGCATTATAAACCTGGAGCGAGTCTCTCTCTGTCTCTTGGTCCTGTGTCGCTGCTGCTGCTGGCGCAATATAGCTTATAACTGTGCTACACGGGGCGCGCTTTCCAGGCTTATATACACGCGGCGGTATAAGCGAGTGCTGCGCGCATTATATATAGGGGGATGGTTTTAGCTCTGGCTGTCGGCTCAGTTCTCTCTCTCTCTCTCTCTCTTTCTGACTGTGTATTGATTGCCGCGCTCTCTCTCTCTCTCTCTCTCTCTCTCTCTCTACGCTCGGCAGCAGCAGCAGCGGCAGCGGCAAAGCGAGTGAGAGAGAGAGAAAACGAGAACGTTCACTTCCTCGCAATGCTCTTTCTTTCTCTCTCTCTCTCGCTCTGGTCTTCCGGCTGGCGCTAAAGCGAGCTTCATGGCCGCCTGTGTCTGCTGCTGGGCTCTCTTTTTCCTTTACTCTCTACGCCAACGCTGCTGCTGCTGCTGCTGCTGCGCTACTATCCAGGTCGTTGCTGCTGCTGCCGCCGCCACTGCTGCTGCTGCTGCCTCTGTATATATATACAACAAAGACCAACAACGACACATACAACTAACTGCGATGGACCTGCGCCTCGGTCTCTCTCGCTTGCTCGCTCGGCGCGAATACCTGCACACACGCTGCTCTCGCGCTATACACGTACGTGTGTGTATGTAGCTTTTCTTTCTCTTTCTTCGCCTCTGTATATATACGTATAGTGGTAGTAGAGAGCACATCCCGGCCAGAGCGACTCCTGCTTCTGACTCTTTGCCTCTCTTGCCCACTGCTATACTGCCAGAGCCAGAGCCACACAGCCACTGCCTTCCTTCCTTCTTGCTCGGGACCATTAAAAATGCACTCACTAACGTTGAATTTTCAACTTCAATCGCGATGCTTATGTTAAATACATGCTCGTGTGTTGATCGTGTGGACCTGCTTTGGCTAACAAGCCTTAATAATAATCGAAGCCAATGAGTAGTAGCGCGCCGTGCTTATCTAGACCTCTTATCGAGATCTATAATATAATGCTTCTATATAAACGCACGCACACACGTATACTATATACTTGCACACGACGACGCGGTCAAGGTGCTTTTAGAGGCGTACGGCAGCTTTCAACGCCTCGAACCTTGGCATTGAGGTACTACTCATAACAGCACACACACTAACACACACACACACCTATTAAATACGTTCTCTCTCTCTCGATATTTTAAATAAATCTCTGTGCAAATACTCGCTCGTGGTTTTTTTATGACGTAATTAGCATAATCTCTCTCTCTCTCCGCGCTTATTATAAATACGCGTCTCGTGCGCCGATATAATTATGTTTGTAAACGAAGCGCGGGATAATGTATTAAAAATAACGATTTTTTCTTTTAATTATTAAAAGCGAGAGAGAGACCAATGCCCGCTCGCTCGCGCAGACACACTTTACAAGACGAGATTCAATAATAATTCGAGTCGCGATATAAATCACGTACGCGCACGACTCGTACGCGCGCATTATGTAATAACGCATGTTTACGTATTTACGACAGCTGGAATAGCATCATACATATAGGCTGTATGTACATTTTCGTGCGGGTGGAGATTCGTAAACGACTCCGAATCGCTCGCTCTCGTTAATGTTTTCGGGGAAAAATCCCCGGTTTTTAAATCGTGTGTGTCCCAACTATAAATTCGAACAATTAACGAATCGATCGATGCGCGTCGGCGGTATAAGTTATCGTTATATATTACACACTAAACTCTTTGACCCCCGCGCCGGGGGGCACGTATTTCGATTTTCGACGAGAGTAATAGTGATATTTGTGCACCTACATACACAATCGCGAACTAGTTTACTCGAGAGCAGCGGCAGACGCGCGCGCTAAGCTCCTTCCGCTCGGGTCGATGAACTGGATTTTCGAAAAAAGTGCGCGCGCGCGGATTGAGCCGTTTAAATGTTTTTTCTTTCTTTCTTTTTCAATTCTGCTCAGACACGTAATGTGAAAATGTACACAAGTCTTTAGACGAACGGAGAGAAAGAGAGAGAAAGAGGGAGAGTGGGAAAAGTGCGATGGAAACGGCATAGAGAAAAGGAGTCGAAGGGGAGAGAGAGAGAGACGAGGCAGTAGTAGTAGTAGTAGTAAGCGCCAATATACATAAAAGTATATAGCAGCGGAGCAGCGAGAGTCAGAGTCAGTCAGCTGATTGAAGCATCGGAGGAGAAAATAGTAAAGCGAGAGAGGTGTAGTGGTGTGCAGGTGGTGATGGTAGGGGTAAAGAGCCCGATCGATTTTTTTATTTCACTTTTTTTTCACCCTTTTATTTTTTATTATCACTTTTATTCAAAACTCGGGCTTCAGCCACCGCCGCCGCGATCGGAAAACGATGATTAGATTCATTGAGACATGGATCGATCGATCCGTGTGCGTCGGGCGCGCAATACTATACGATAAGACGGCGGCGGTGCGACCCCGCGTCACGTCGTAATTAGGCACGCGCGCGCGCGGAAATGATCTTTATGTTCGCGCACAGCTGATCTTTATTCATAAAGCGAATAATGCGGAACGTTTGTTTCTTTTTTTTATTATCAATCAAATATTGCATCAATTGTGACTCGAACGTGTGCTTTATGTTTGTTGCAGGGGACTGGTATGGAGAAGGAGAGCTCCGCGGCGGGAGGCGGCGGAGGTGGTAGCAGCAGCGGAGGAGGAGGAGGAGGAGGTGGGGGAGGTGGTGGCGGCGGGGTCGAAGCGACGGTCACGCCGGGCGCCAACTCAACCCCCGATCATCTACAGCAGGATCAGGCCAACCCCCTATTGGATCCCACGGCACTTTTCGGAGGTAAGTCGGTCGGAGAGAGACAGTTGGATCGCTTCGAACTCCGCTTTATGCATTTCATCTCGTTCGTACTTATACGATTGCCAATGTACCTGTATCATCGACGCTTTTTTTATTATATCACGTGTATACTTATTCATCGTTTTCCGTTTTATTCATCGCGTTCAGCCACTGGCGCTTGGCTCCAAATCATTCATCGTATATATACCATTCCGCCTGTTTTTTGCCCGTTCCTTCGGCCCGTTTTTTTATACGGTAGTTTTCGCCGACGACGACGCTCTCGTTCCTGCGTACGTGTCGGGGGCTATATAACATTAAACTGGCCGCGCCGAGCCGTGTGTGCTGTGCCGTGCCGCTGCTGCTGCTGCGTCGTTGTACGTTTCGTACGTACGCCATTTGCGAGAGTATAACGCGCCGCGCTTGTGTGTGTGTGCAGCACACGACAAAAACGGACGTATACAGAGCGAGGAGAGAGAGATGCGTATATATAGGAGCGAATGCCAGCAACAGCGACGGCACAGCACAGCACACACAACTCGCTCTCTCTCTCTCTCTCCCTCTGTATATTTATTGATTGCCACCTCAAACCCCCGCTTGGTTTTGGCTTTCCACTCGAGGCTTGTGCCGAGTTCGTGCCGTTCAGCCGATGTGTGCTGTGCCGTGTATTGCTGCTGGCTTTACTGCGCCGTGCGACGACGACGACGATATATTCTCGTGCCGCTGCTGCTGCTGCTGCTGCTGCTGCTTCGTGCCATCGGCGCGCGTAGTTGCGCCCAAGCCAAGTCGCGCAAAAGCGGCATCTCTTCTTTCTTTGCTCGTACATACTTTAAAGTCGTATGCACCAGGACGCCTCCTCCTCGCCGAGGACCTGCCGAACAATGGACTCTTTACCTGCGTACCCGAATCCTACAGGTGCTCATCTCGCGAGAAACGGAGTCGCGGAGTAGTAGATAGAGGATCCGTGTCCACCGGAGCTATAAGCTAGAGCTCTCTGCACGCTCGAAAGGCTCGAAGTACTCGCGCAGGCATAATACACGCGCGGAGCGGGTGCGAATATACCGTTATCAACCTTTCTCTCGCGCGCGCTGAGAGAGCGAGACAGAGAGAAAGCCCGTGTGTATAAGCGCGCCGCTCGTTCCTGCCGTTTGCCGTGCGCGCGCGTTATGTAGCGTCGTCGAGTAGAGCGAATCGCTTATTATATGAACGTTAAGTCGCGCGGGGCACGCAGGACTTTTCGACTGTGCGACGCGAACAACACGATTTGACGAGAGACAGCGGCATATACAGGAGGGACGGACAGACGGACGGAGCGCAGTGTGCACGCAGAATACGAGGAAGAAAAAATGAAAAAAAAAACAAGCAGACCAAGTATTATATCTCGTTTTCTCTCTCTCTCGTCGGAGCATCTCTCTCTCTGGTATACACACCTATATAGGTATAAAACGCAGAGAAAGACAGAGACAGAGAGAGAGAGAGAGAGAGACACGAGCCTCGTCGACGAATACACATCCCTCCTCTCTCTCGTATAACTGCGCCGATGCCGCTGCCGCTGCTGCTGCTTCTTCTCTCCTTTTCGCAACTGTAGCTCTATATACTGCACGTGTATGTATATATATGTATATAGGTGCCTATAGTCATACATTCATACACATATATATCTATACGGTATGGTCTCTCTCTCTCTCTCTCTCTCTCTTGGTGCGGCGCGGCAGCAATTCGTTGTCGCTACGCTCCGAGAGCTCAACTCGCTCTCTCGGCTTTGGCTCGGCTCTGCTCGCCCATGTACATATATAACCTTCGCCTCGTCTCTCTCTCTCTCTCTCTTTATACGTGTGTTTGTGTGTGCAACACATATAGGTATACACCTCTATACTGTACGTATACGCTCTCGGGCTGTACGTAGCAGCAGCAGCGTACCTACACACGGACTGGCTGTGCCTGTGCCTGTGCCTGCCTGCCTGCCTGCTGCTGGCTCCGATCGATTTAATAACACGGCCATTTTCTCTCCCTTCAATGGCTTGATGCGCTTCTCTCTCTCTCTCTCTTTCTCTTTCTCTCTCTCTCTCCTTCTCCCGTAATATAACACATACTGTATGTGCTTGCACACACGTACATTGCTGCATCAGCAGTCGTGTGGGCCCCAAATATAAAATGCACCTCGAGACTCTGCATATTTGACGCGCACAGCAGCTCCGCGGATAATGCGTGCTAATTAAAAAATCCCTTTTGGCGCATTTACCCGCGATTAAAATGTAAACGAGAGCCACTGGCCTCCGCTACTGCTTCTACTTGAGCTTGGGCTAGTCGAGCTAAGCTGCACAACCAGCAGCAACAGCAGCAGCAGCAGCAGCAGAGAGAAGAAGATATTGATTTAAGGCTATAAAGGAAACGTCGCGCGCGCCCGAGTATAAATATATATATAGATACGTGTGCAGGGTATACGGGGTGGCCGCAGCCGCCGCCGTTTTCTTATATACGATAAGTTTATTGCTAGGCGCCGCTGCTCCAAACTCTCAAGCTCCTCCACTCGGACCCGGTGGTTAGCTGCTCGAGCTCCTCTCGTAGCTTGTTTAATCAGATGTATAATGCTCGATATCTCTTCTCTTCCCCCCCTGCGCACAGCAACAGCAGCAGCAGCTTATGCAGATGGGAAATCGAGGGAAAACACATTTAACAGCAGCAGCCTCTCTCACTAGGTCACCGGGACGTTATCCACACACACACACGCGCGTACACACGCAAAATGTACTTGAAAATAAGCTATACCCTCCCCTCCTCCCCCCCTTGCTGCTGCTGCTCTCTACTACCGTGCACACACACACACACACACCTATACGTCTACTCATTACTTTTCACCCTAAAGCTCTTTTCCAAAAAGGGGGAACTCGCATATTACTGTACGTGTGTGTGCTTGTGCTCACCCGCGCATATTTTTGTGTACATATACACTCTCTGGGCATATTTACACGATAATTTTGTTAAATAAGTAAAAAAAAAAGGGAAAGTTTGAATGAGAGAGAGAGAGAGCTTTAACGTAGTTATGATCCGCCGCCGTGTAACGAGTTTATAACGTCATGTTATTAGATTGTAGTACTACAAGTAGTATATCGATCCGAAGCCCGCACACACACACACACACAGCCGCGCACGAACGAACGGGGTTGGCGCGTGTTTGCAAGCTTTATTGCACGGATGAATAAAAAAAAAGAAAGAAAAAAAAGAGTAAAATTAATTGAAATCATGAATGACTGTCATAGCGCATGTATGTATATAGGAGATGTATAGTTGGAGAGATAGAGAGCTTTTAGCTCGTGTATTTCGTACGCATTTCGTGCTCGTGTGAATTGGAAATTTCTCTCTCTCCGTGAGAGATAATATGTATCGATTCGCGAAACAATTATTCGATGATAGGGCCTTTGTTGTGCTCCGAACAGCTGGAATACGACGCGATAGTGGTGTACGGTAAAAAAAATTTTTTTTTCCTTCTCTCTCTCTCTCTCTCTCTCTATATCCGCGCGTATCATATTGGATTTCGAAGCAATTCGAGTTTACGCACGAGTGAAATACACACGCAAAATAAATGTTTGTTCATCATTCGTGCCCCGTACGATACATACATCGAAAAGCTGCTGCGGCCTGCCTCTCGACCGACACCCGTGTTATATACTTTTATCTCACGCGCGAGGTATACGTATAACATGTAATGTAAGCTTGATTATTATTATATATATAAAATATTCCTGTGCATGTGTCCGAGTGTACGCGCGTGTGTGTGTGCGCACGACGACGACGCGCGAGAAGTATAATAAAAGGTTAAAACGCGGTCAGTTCATTGAACGAGCGGAGAAAGACAGAGAGAGAGAGAGAAGTATCAGACGCGCACATCGCGATGCGTCATTGCCGTCACCGCCGCCTTAGGAACCATCTTTCCGACTTATTCTCAAAGTATATTTATGTTATAAAGTCTCTCGAATGTATATAGATGACGACGAAGAAAAAAAAAGAAGGAAATAATCATAATAATCCTCACTGTCAAGGTCGCGCGCGCGACGGATTGATAAAAATCAAACGATATATATATTATATAGCGCGCTTGAATTATGTGCCGCGTATTTATGTATATAATTAACATGCCGCAGGTATTATATACTTGAAATAGTTTCAGCTCTATATACAAGTTTATATTATCTCGCTCGTCTCGATAGTTTGTAAGCACACAGGTACATTGGATCGTAACGCGATAACTTTCCGCTTCATTATGCACGATCGAACTTTTTAATACCAATCGATGATCGACATTTTCTCACCTGTCTCACTTTCCTCTTCTTTGTTCGCAGCATACTGGCCTCGCGGTGCCGAGGGTAACGGCGCTGCGGCGGCGGGCAACGCCGCGGCTCTGGCCGCCGCTGCCTCCGTCTTCGGCAGCATGCCCGGTGCCTATGGGCTCGGCGCCCACCAGCTACCGCCGTCGGCCTACGCCATCCTGGGCCGTGGCGCCGCAGCAGCGGCCGCGGCGGCGCCCCCGCCCAATCCCTACGCCCATCTGAGCGGCCTCGGCATGAACTCGGCCGCCTGGTGGACCATGGCCACGCACCTGGACTACCTGGCCAGGTTGCAGGGCGCCGCCGGACTCGGGGCGTTCCCGCCCGGCGCGGCGGACGGCATACTGCCGCCCTATCCGCCGGGTCTGCTGAACGCGCCGCCGCCACAGCAGCAGCAGCAGCAGTCGTCGCACTCGACCTCGCACAAGTCTTCGAAATGTAAGTGTGCTCATCTTTTGGCTATCTAACTATCTTCAAAGCTCGAGGTGTCTAATCTCTTCCGTAACATCTTTTTACAGCGAAATCAAGCAAATCTCACAAGAGCTCGTCGTCATCGTCCTCGGCGGCGGCTGCAGCAGCGGCAGCAGCAGCAGCGCAACAGAACTCATCCTCGGCTAGTCACTCATCCGGCATGAACAATTCGACGGCCGCGGCCATGGCGGCCTCGCTCGGCAGCCAGCTCCAGGCCGCGGCGGCCGCTGCAGCCGCCTCCTCGGCTCAGCAGCAGCAGCATCATCATCATCATCACAACAGTAGTCCCGTAACTTCGTCCTCGTCGTCGTCGGCAGCGGCGGCAGCAGCAGCGGCTCACAGCAGTAGCAGCGGCAGCCACTCGACCACCACGACCAGCAGCAGCGGCGGCGGTAATCAGTCCAATTCGCACTCGTCGTCCTCCAACGTGCTCAATGACTCGAGCAGTATTCTGGGCGGGGTGAGGCTGCCGCCCGACACCGAGATCATCAAGTACACGTCGAGCATAGTCGGACCCAAGATCCCGGGCACGACGAATCGCGGCCGCAAGAAGACCATCTCCCTGGACTCGCCCTCGGTGAGCTTGCACGGGCCCGGCTCCATAAGCCTGCACGCCCATCACCAGAGCGCCACCAGTCTGGCCCACAACAACAACAACAACGGCAGCAGCAGCAGGAGCAGTCCCGCCCTCGCCCTCGACGCCAGCAAGTACAATCGATCGAGGGTACGTTTTCGAAACGAGCTTTTGCGCACTAATAATAACTCGATTGCTGCTCCTTATGCCATTATTATGACTAATTTCTCGCGTACGTTGTTTACAGCACGACAGCAGCAGCGATTACGGCAATCGCGGCGGCGGCGGCGGCGACCGCGACTCGATTGACCGAGTGGAAGTTATCAAATTACCGAATCACTCGACTAATGGTTCGGTCGTGCCGGGAGTGACGCCGAACTACACCAGCGGCAACAGCAGCAGCGGCGCCGCAGCCGCCGCCGCCGCAGCCTGCGACAACTCCGACGCTCCGCTCAATCTGTCCCTCAAGCCCTCCTCCGCGACGATGAGCAGCGGTAACTCGTCGACGACGATAAGCTCGAATCAGCCGCTCAGTCAACTGAGCAATCTCAGCCAGTCGCTGCTCGCTTCCGATCGCTCCTGTAAGTATATCTGTCGGTTGCTACTGCTACTACTACTACTACGTTGTCCCCCTGCAGTCGTCTCGAATTGCAATGTGAGATAAGAGAAAAGAGCGAGTGACTTATTTGTTTTTTTTTCTGTTCGTTTACAGCGCGTCGCAAGCCGGGTCCCAAGCCGAGGCGCGTGCCGCAAAATTCGCTGCCACTGTCGGGCGGTAACTCGCCGTTGAATCCGTCTCTGGCGCAGCTCTTCGCCGCGGCCGACTCGCCCCAGCGCTGCTCGGGCAGCGGCGGCGAGGACAGCGAGCCCCAGTCGCATCAGCCGCCGCACAAGGACAGGCCGCGCAATCTCGGTCGCGGCGTCTCCAAGCCCAAGAAGAACACCGTGGCGTCGCTGCTCGCCCAGAGCCGAGCGCTCGGCATCAAGCCCACGCCGACGATCGACCCGAGCGCGCCCCTGGCTCACCAGGTCTCGCTGCTGCGCTCGAACATCCTCGCGGCGCAGATGCACGCCTCGAACCTGGCACTGGCGGACGAGAGGTCCGCCCAGCGTACGCTCCAGGAGAAGATCAAGATCAGCAAGCTGCTCGAGGCCAATCTCGAGGACAACAACATGGAGGTGAACAGCGAGAGCGACGGCAACACCGATCATCTTAGCGACACGGACGACGACGACGGTGTCAGCCACGCCAAGCGTCGCAGGTACTCGCACACGGAGAAAGACTTGCAGTTGCCGCTGGACAGAGGCTGGAAACGCGAGACCCTCATTCGAGGTATCAGCAAGAACTGCACCATCAACGGCGACGTCTCTTACTACAGTCCCTGTGGCAAACCGTTCCGGAACTCGATCGAGCTAGCCAAGGTAATTTGACTTTCGACAATTGTTTTTCTTACTTTTTTTTCATTCGTTTGAAATTATATGATGATTTTGTAACGTAAGTTTTTGGAGCACCAAAACTCGATGGATCTTACAATAAATAACTTTTCGTTCTCATCGAAACCACTGGTTGGCGATTTTATACAATCGGCTATGGGCACTGAACTTGAAATAATCAAGTTGAGCGCGTTTGAAACTGCCAGAAAGCTCGAGGAGCTGAAAGCTCACTCGGCAATGCGCGACATCAGATTAAATCATCAATACGAGCGAGATAAGCTGGCTTACGCCAAAAAGATCGCCAAGGAAGAGCAGCAACGAAATAAGGAGCAAGCAAGGTAAACGATTTTTTCCGTCTGCTTTCGTAACGAGGACGATGGATGAGAAATAAACGTTGAAACATATTTTGTAGACTGATCAAAGAGCAAGAGAAGAACGAGAGACAAGAGGCTGTGAGGAGAGAACGCGAGATGAGAAATCAGCAGTTGCTTGAGGTGAGTGTACGTTGTAGCAATTTTACTAGAATTTGAAACTCATTCACGTTTTTTTTTATCAATCTTGTTGTTTCCACATTCACATTTGAATTCTACTATCTTTCTATTTGGGATATATACATATAATTATATCTTGTATACACGTTTTTTGTATACTTTTTTCATTATATTATATATATATCAATTTGTCGTGCGTGTCGCATGCTTTTTGTGTGTACCGTTTTTTAATTACATTATTCATATATATAATACACATTTTTTTCGTTGCGTATATATATTTCTATATATACCTTTTGACTATATAATATTTCAATAATATCGTTCGTTTTTTTTTCGTTAATCAATACATATTTGTAAACATATTCCATTTTCATTTGGGTTGGATTTCCATACAATAGTTATTCGAAACGATATTACTTTTTGACCGTTTGCATATCAAAAATTTTTCTTTTTAACATTCATATTTGTACAGTCTTTCCCTTGTTCAATACATGTATAATCCTTGACATTGATCTCCTATGAACAACAACATGTACAGTACACGAGCACTCGACGATGTCGTAGTGACAGGAGGGCCTTGTCTCTCTCGGTATATACCGATGAAATTTTTCATTTTTCATTCAAACATTTAAGCAATTTGCCATTCATTCTTTTGATTAACCCGATGAAAAAAAAAACATTTCTGAGAATCATAAGGAAAATCCAGCTTAGATCCACATGAAAATGTACCTGTATAATAAAAATCTCACTAACATTCGATTCACCCTTCCCGCACCTTCACTTTCACCACTTTATATTCATATCACTGAGTAATAGAATCGTGTGTAAAATGACACTTGCACAAATGAAGCAAAATGAAATTAAATCACGCATCTAATATCACCGTGCACACGATCAAATGCCAACCGTCATTTGTACATTTTTAGAATCACGCATCATAGTGTTTGTTGAATAGTTGAATTATAAAAAAAAAGTATACATCATAAATTAGAATTAAAGTCCATGAATCGAAAAAAGAATACTGATATGAATAGTTGAATACACAATCACACGAGATGACAATAGTATGACCCATTAAAAAAAAAAAAAAAAAAGAGCGCCGACACGAAGTAAGCTATCGCATTAGTGAAGTGTGTGCGTGTGTGCGTAAATCATGTATGTAAGTGTACACCTTATATGTGAGCTTCTGTGTGCGTGTGAGAAAGCTTTAGATCTAGAAACTTAGCTGGCCAGTATAAATTAAGAAAAAAAAAATAATATAGAAAGAAACGGAATCATATATAAAATGGAGAATCGCATGTGAGAGAGAATCTGATAAACAAACAGGGTCGAAAGCGGCTAGCGTTCACGATCAAGCAAAAGATGAAGATAATCCAGGAAATCGAACGGGGCAAGAGCAAAAGCGACGTGGCTCGAGAGCTGGGTCTGGCGAGCAGTACCGTAGCGACTATTTGGAAGAATCGCGAGAGCATAGCCGAGAGTTGGCGCAATCGCGACATGATGCACTCGGACATCGACATCGAGTCGGCTAAAAAAATCATCAGCAGCAACTCCCTGGCGGTCAAGCATCATCAGCAACAGTTGCAGCAACAGCAACGAAATCATCATCAACAACAGCAACAGCAGCAGCAGCAACAACAACAGCAGCAGCAGCAACAAGCCGCTTCCCTGACGACTCCCATGATAAGCGCAAGAAGTAACGAGCCCGGTAAGGCCGCTACAGCGACGGCCCACCAACCCGATCACCTGCAGCAGGCACAGAGCCAGAACCTAGGCCAGGAACTGCTGGAGGTAAGACTTCGCTCTCGCTCACACAAAGGAAAACTACTATAAAAAAAAAAAACTACTACTACCGATTCTCCCGCGTGATCAACGTAAATATAAACAAAAAAACATCATTATACATTATACATACATTATACATGACACACGAATATTATAAACTGCATCCACTATACCACACACAAACGAGAAGTCTGTGTTGTTTAAATGTTGCTGTTGTATAGTTTACTAGTATACCTTTAACGTGACACTCGGCGCTGACTCGGCGAATGAATTGACGACGAAGGTTCAAAATAAAATTAGAGACAACGATTATGCGACGATAGATCTACTTGTTACACTTAGTCGCTCTCACGACTCTCTCTCGTTATTTATTTTTTTTACTTTTTTTTTTTAAATCTTATTCTGTTACATGAAAACTCTAAACTTTTATGATTTCATTAATTTTTATTTTTTCAATTAGTTGAACTATATATTATTATAAACCTGTATACTGCATGAATATCAAATAGGAACGCTTATCTCAATTATCAATTATTTACAAATATTCTCTTGATACAAAAAACACAAAACGAATTCTCACTGCAATGATACTATAATAGAATGAACTTGCCAGGAAGGGAGCGTGATGCGCGCTCCTCGATGGCTTTGAGTCTTATATAGATGTAACTAAATTGGTTACTTTCAGTTCTATAATTTTTAGTTGATTCATAATAGTTGTTGATTTTTCTTTCCGATTAATGTATCATTTAATGATTATTATTAAACATGAGCTTATTTATGGCATTACTTTTGTAGTAAGTGAACCGACTTCACGTTACTTTATTTTGTTCTTTTGATAAAAAAAAAAAGAGAGAGATGATTTTTTTTTTTACAAAAATTTGTTTATGAAATCAACTAGCCTTTTTTATTTTCTAGTTATGTATACTTCACACATACACTTTAGAGTGTTATGCTTCAACGCCTGTGTGTTTTTTCCTTTTCACATATATAAATATAAAAAATTATGTGACGATTATAATATGTGATACGTACTGTTGATTTAGATGAGCAGTCATATTACGAGACACAAATATAATAGCAATGAAAGAAAAAAAAAGATCAAGTTGTGATGAAAGAGTGATATATATGAATCACATGTTTTAGGGGCCTTTTAGACAAAAAAAAATGCGCGTTGATAATTAGGGGCAAATCTAAAAAAAAATATTTCCTTACCTATAAAATATAACTTCTCCTGTCACTATTTTTGTAACTTTGTATTAAATATTCAGTTGGATCAGTTATTGTATTTTTATTGTATAAAGTTAGCACGCAGCATGCCAATTGTGTGTAAACTTTATTTATGGAAATTAAAACTTTTTCTCTTTTTTGACGATTTTTTGTGTGTTACTCTTCATGAACGGTAAGCAGCTTTAGTGATTTCCATATTGAGAAATTATGTAATTTTTTTACCACTTGCTGCATAAATTTGTATACGTATATTAGTACGTGTATATATCTTCGTTAATAATGTGAAAAAAAATTTTGTGCATCCGTATCATAATATAATATTTCAAACTTTCATCATTATTATATCTTCAAGATTGCGATTTACTCTTTCATCTGTGTAAATGTATGTATAAGCGTGTTTTGAAAATTACCTTTCAATTGTTATTATCATTATTATTATGTATTCTGTATTTTGTCCATGTTTATTTGAAAAGCTAATTTATCATTTGATATTTTTTCATATGTATGATATATTTGCGCTGTAAAAATATTCCAGCTTATGTCTAATAATTGCATGCGTAAAGCTTTTTTATTGGCACGCTCATTATTTTCATATACAGCTTTCGGATGGAGGTGGATCAGCTTGTTTGGTTTGGTGTTGGATAATATTTTTTCTCTTTCTCTCTTATTAAATTATATTTTACTGTACAGTATTTTTGAAAATCAATTACTTTGGTAACTAGTTATATCTCGAAATCGAAGGGTGACGCCTCGCGTATCAATATACCCGGTGCTATTATTCTTCAAATGATTAATCGTTTTGGCGCGTCACTTTGGCAAAAAAAAATATTAAGAAAGAAAATTATAAGCATTTAGCTCATTTAGATGTAAAAACTGCTTTTCTGTTTGTAGAAACACTGTTTATGGTTAAACATTCTAGTCATGGGTTCTGTCGGATACAGAGCTCGTAGAAAAAATGAATTTTAGTTATAGCATGACATGATATACATAGATTACTTAGTTGACACTATTCAATATTTAAAGAAAAAAAAAATTGAGAGCTCCGTACAGATTTCGAACACAAAAACACACTTTAATCGTCTTTCAAAATTTCATGAAATTGAAAACGCCTACCGAAATCGAATCGACAATGTTCAAAGCAAATAATACGATTTCGAGCAATGTTTCTAGGTGTCTCGTTGTAAATAATTCAAATTAAATTTTATGATATTTATGTCTTTTTAAACAGGCACGTAAAAAACGCCAAGAAGAAGTCGAAAAATTACGTATGGAAGAGCAACAACGTAAACAACAGGTAATGCAAAAAATAAATCACACGAGAGAATTTATTCAAGAATGATAGTTTATTTACAAATGATTGTTATGATTGCAGGAGCGAGAAATGAAAAGGCAGCAAGCGGTAATGCTTAAAGAACAGGTAAAAGTTTGCGTTGATTTATCAAGTTTTTTTTTATGTTTTTGATTTTTTTACGTTTGGAGTAGTCGGATTAATTTTTTTATTATTCTTTATCTTTCTCACTTTCTTTACGACGTTTTTCCATGATCGTCGTGCATTTAAATAAAAAAAAATAGATAAACAAAATGCGAAACCATTATATTGAAGTATCATGCTATAATGTAATACGCTACACTCTCTTCAGTTTACGGATCATACCTTCAATAGATGATCATACTTGCATCATTATTGTTTTTTTTTCTGAGTGTCAAATTTCCGACTGAGTAGTAGCTAAATATTATTACGTTTTATCAGTGTATTTGTATATATTATAATTTTATGATTTCCGCATCCACATTTTGTCCCTATTCGAAGGAGTATTTTCACATCATATTTTCCATGCTTTCAATGGTGCCAAAACAACGATTTTTTAATAACAAATGAAAAAAAGTATTTTTACACTAATATAATTGGTCAATGAGTTATCAATAAGAAAAAGTATTATCACCGTAAATAACATATTTTGCGTGGAAGGATTTTTTGTGTTTCGGGCATTAACTATTACATATATTTTATCAATTTTTCTCATGGGTTCAGCTTAATAATACAATTAAATATTATTATAATTATTAATTATAACTCAAAACGACCAACTAATAACTGTACTGAGCTTGATTAAAAATGAGCTTGGCGTTTTTTTTTCAAAGAACGGGTGTAAGAAAATTTTTTCATTATTAATTAAAAAAAAAAAAAATAAGCATTGACTGCACCATGAAGCACACAAACACGCAAAAAATTAATTGGTGAACTGTTGGTGAACTTTGTTGTGTGTTTTGTTGCCGCAGATGTACATGCAGGAGCTCACCAAGCAGCGCGAGATACTCTACACCGTCGAGCTGGTATGTCATCACGTACCTAAAAAAAAAACAAAGATTCTTTTTAGCTAACCCTCCTCCCAATCTATTTCTCTCTTAATGTTTACATTTTCCATTAAAATACCTAAAATCCATTAGTTTTCCATTGACATTTGTGAAACACAAGCGATTAATCAACTAACACTCATTCACTTGTATATAATATTTTTATCACAAAAATGAGCTTTTTGCGTCCGTGACTATATCATCGTCATCATGTGCATCGTCATCGTCATCATCATTGTTCAATCATCGCACTATTATGTATTAATTCTTTTTCTTAAATTTAATGGAGTAGTGCGAGACTATAGTTCACTTGCTTAAATCGAAGTACAGCAATTCATTCACGTAAAAACTATCATATTGTTGCATTTCTCGGTGTTTGGGCAGTACTTAACAACTTGTTTTTACACGAAGTGTGATGTAGATGTTGCTTTTTTTTTATACCACGTATTATATTCTCTCTTCTATTGCTATTTTTCTTCGTGATTGACGAGTTGACGAAAAATACGTAATTTTTGTAACAACCTCGTTTGGAAGTTGAAATCGTATAACTTGAAATAATTGCGTATAAAAACGAAATACAAAAAAAAAGACAAATGCTTATGTTTTAATAACGTATATCAAAGGATAGGACCATGTCTTATCCTACTTTTATTCAAACATCCAATATTTTTGATAAATGTATACCTGACACGCGAAAAAAAATTATCCCACACTAACGACCTTCGTTAATTCCGTTCAGGAGCGAGAGAGAAGGCGGCAACACATGACACTGATCCGAGCGCTGGAGAATCGCCGCAAAATGGAAGAGCGCGAGAAGAAGCGGCTGGAGGCTCGGGCCGAGCGAATCGCCCAGAAGGAGAGGCGAGCCGAGCAGAGGCGACTGGAGCTCGAGCTGGTCGAGCAGATTCGCAAACCCGTGGAGGACACCGAGCTCACCGATCACAAACCCCTGCCGCAGCTCAAAAGACTGCCAGGCCTGAAGCTTGCGGGCAAAGCTTTCGCCGACATCGTCATGGTATTCGAATTTCTGCACAATTTCGGCGAGACCCTCGGTTTCGGTAAGACTTTTTTCGTTTTCCCTCCTATTGCTTATTGACCAACCTTCGAGTATTGATCAATTTCTAACGTTTTCTCAGACATGGATTCGTTACCAAGCTTGAAAAGTCTCCAAGCCGCCCTGTTGAATGACGAAGAAGCCGAAGAGGAGCTACTCTCGGTGATGACGCACCTATTGGTCTGCGCTATCGAGGATCCAGGCATTCCTCAGCCAGCCCGACACACGACCGGCCTCGGTCAGAGTTTGCGCCAGGCCGACATCACTCACGCCAACATCAGCGAGGTGCTGCGCATTTACTTGTACGCCAACGCGACCGGGGAGATAAAGGCGCTCACGGGATTCTGCCTGGAACGCGAGCGCGACAAGCGTTTCGCCGACCATCATCAGAACGCTCCGGACAGCAATCCGAATCACGAGAAAACCTCTTGCTCGGCCTCGAGCAAGAACGCTCAATTTTACGAGCACTTGCACAACAACGAGACTTGGCGCATGTCCGAACGTCTTCGGGATAAGCCGTTCCTGGCGCTCAGTCCGACCCACAAGGCCCAGATGCTCGCTTTTCTCTGCAACGAGTTGCTGCAGAACAAGGCCGTACTTAAGCAGATCGAGACGAGTCTCGAGACCGTGGCTAGTCTCAAGAAGGAGCGATTTTTGCTCGACACGAAAATTCGCAAGCTCCGGCAGCTGCACTCCCGAAAACAGCGCATGGAAGCCGTCGGAGTCGTTATCAATAAATCCGGCGACGTTTCCACGATTTCCAGTGCCAATACGAGCGTCAATGAGCAGCAGCAACCGCAACCAACGAGTAACAATAACAAGACCGAAGAACCCGCGAAGTCCGAAAATAGTACTCCGAAAGAGCCGAGCAGTACTCCCACGCCAGAAGATCAACCACCGCCTCATCACGATCACGACGAGACCACTCACGACGAAGAAATGTCCGAGAATGAAAGCGAGGGTACTCAACCGGAGGAGGAAGAGGACAAGAATCTCTCAGCCGAAGAACTCGGTAAAAAACTCGACAAGTGGCTCAAACAGTCCGAGGAGCAACTGCAAAAACTCAATGGATCTTCCAAGAGTATTCGAGCTCATGTATTCGGTCAAGATCGCTTCTGGCGCCGATACTGGGAGCTGCCTTGCTCTGGTGGAGTTTTCGTTGAAGCCATGGAAAGTGCCGAACCAGAAATACTCGACTTCCAAGCCGAGCTTGACCTCAAATACAAAGACGAGGAACCACCAAAAGAAGAGATTTCGCCAAAACAAGAAGAACCGAAAGAAATTGAAGAGACTAAAAAAGAACCCGTTAAAGAGGAAGAAGACGTGGAAATGAAAGAAGAGATACCACCAGTCGAAAGTCCGAAGAAAAAAGTCACTGAAAATTGTGTCTCGGAAAATCATACTGATAAGGAATCAGATGACACGGAAATCAAAAAAGAGACTAAAGAAGAGGAAAGTTCTGAAATGGAAGTCGACGAAAAGCCGAAGGAAGGTGAAGCCGAAGATAAAGCGGCTATCGTCAAGTCCGAAGATAAAGTCATTGATGCTGTAGCCAATGGTGAAAAGTTCAATCACGTCAATAATAATAACCTCCCGAATGGCAGTGCTTATGACACTGTTATCGAAGCCAATTGGTTCTCGATTTTGCCTCGTGAAACTTGCGATACTCCTGGATCTTGCACTAAACAGATATTTGGCGTGGCCGAATCCACAGAACTGAAAATTCCCATTTTCCCACCCCCACCAAGTCCTGGATACGACAGATGTGATAGTCCTGCACCTCTAGTTCTTACACAAGACGAAGCTACTCAGCTTGAATATCTTAAAATTCATGGATTACCAGTTGCCGGTGAAGCCAAACCAGTGCCAAAAGACTTGAGGTACGGATGGTGGAGAATAAATGATCACGACACATTCCAAGAGCTTTTGGAGCATCTGCATTCTCGAGGAGTACGTGAAAAAGAACTCAAACGCACCACTTGGGCAGCCATGGAATCTTTCCTTGCTGTTACGGGCAAAATAAACGTAGATCCTGGAAATTTGGCTGCTACCGATATGGCAGACGAAGAGGACTCCAAGGAAGACCAGGAAAATCCTATAATTAACCAATCCGAAGACTGGAGCGAACAAGTCGCTCTTAGAGTAGACGCACAGCTTCTAGAGCAAGTTGAAGCGCTCGAAGACAAGGTTGCCAATGCTAGTATGCAGGTGAAGGGGTGGAAGCTACCACCACGAGCTGGCACTGAAGAGGCAGAAGAGCTCGAGAAGTTACACGAAATGGAGCAATACAGTGCCGTTGAACAGGCGAGGCAGAGACTACTTTCTCTCGAATCAGCAATTGAGAGGCGATATCTCAAACCACCTTTAGGAGTTTGGTAAGTTTTTATTGAACTATAAATATGAACATGATGAGTTTCCTTGACTAATGTACAATTTTCTCGATTTCAGTACTGGAGATCCAAATTTAGCGGCACTGAAAGCGGAACAAGCAGCGGCAGCCGCAACAGCTAGCGCGAGCGCTAACTCGTCGTTGAACGATTCAACATCGGTGCCGAGTCCCCCGGAGGAGACGACACCCCGTGGCCTAAACAATTGGCGCGAGGCGACAGCCCGAGCTCATACCTCGGCTCAGCTTGCCATGTCGCTCTATATGCTCGAGGCCAGCATCGCCTGGGACAAAAGCATCATGAAGGCTGTGAGTCTTAAAACAGCTAGAAAGGCACAGTGCGTCAAGCTACGAAATCGCAGCGTCTCACTCAAATCTGCTACTCAAAACAAACAGCTTATGACTTCTCAGGCATCTGTGGGTATTTGCACACTAACTTGCGCTACTAACCATATTACCCGATACCATACCGATTTCCCGCTATCCCATATTTATCTCACGACTCCCTGTTTACCTTATTACTCACGTTATCCTATAGATGCTTTTTTCGATTATTTGAAAGCACCTATTTATCTTAGGAATACTTGATACTCTTGAGTTGGATCGAAAATTGCAATTGCTTTACATATAATAAAATTTGAAACGAATGGATGATCAAATATAACACTTCATTGATTGTTTATACAGTTGTTGAGATTGAGTCGACGATTTTAGAGCTGTGACGCTTGATGCTCTACAGTTTGTGCATTATATTAAGTACTTTAATATTGTTCTTTTGTGTCGAAAATCGACCAAACATACAGTTTATTTTAACATTATTGCTTTTTGTCTGGCATGGCTATCATATGATTCACTTAATTTCTCGCGCTACTAATTTACTCGATGCAATTTTTCTTTGACGCTATTGCTTTTTCAACAAATACGATTAAATTTTGTCATTTGATACTATGAAAAATAACACAAAAATTATTAATTTAATGTTGTAGATTGAGTACTTACATATTTTTTTAAAGACATAAACATACGTTATTGATATCTATATTTAGTATAAAATGGTTATGGTTTTATTTGTATATTAATGAAACAATAACACTTCTGTATTTCAAAGAATACCGATGCCAGGGTGGACATTTTTTCAGCACGTTTTAAAATTTTTCAAAATGTATTAAGACAATTTCATTTTTGCTTTGGCGTTGGTATTTCCTCGACGAATTTATGTGCCGGAAAGCTCGTAGTAGTGCATGATAATTGAATCGGAAAAACGACCGCATCAAAAATATGAAATGGATTTTTGTTGCAGAACTGTCAATTTTGCCACAGTGGAGACAACGAGGATAAGCTCTTACTATGTGATGGCTGTGACCGCGGTTATCATACTTATTGTTTCCGTCCAAAAATGGATAATATTCCCGAAGGCGATTGGTTTGTAGCTCAAAATTTCGATTGTTATTATTGATAAAAAGTGTTAGACCAACATAGAAAACTTCTCATTATAACAGGTATTGCCACGAGTGCATGAACAAAGCAACTGGAGAAAGAAATTGTTTAGTTTGCGGTAAACGAGTTGGTAAGAATTTGGTTCTTTGTGAGCTTTGCCCGAGAGCTTATCATACAGATTGTCACAATCCTGTTATGCCAAAGGTAAATTTTCATCACCGAATACAACTTTTTTTTTTCATTACAAAAAATAACACATTTCATGCAATGATATTTAGATACCGAGAGGAAAGTGGTACTGCTCAAATTGTCACAGTAAACAGCCAAAGAAAAAAAGCAGCAGTAGAAAAAGCCACAGCAAAGGAGATAAGGATAAAAATGCAACGACGCGAGACAGTGAAAGTTCCGACCATCCACCAGCTAGGTGATTAAGCTAAACTCAAGCAATAAAAATCAAATATGTGTCGCGTCTATCGATGACGCTTATCGTATATATTATTATTTAACAAGGCTTTATGATTGCGTTTATACAAAAAACTGACGAGAAAACTCGACAAATCCGTTAAAAAACTTGTATTCGTTGTAAAGTCGATGGAAATGCGATACAACACTTACATTTACGTTTATAATAACGATATACTTATACACCGTATTATTATTTTTAAAAAGCCAATGAAAATTTGAACTGAACAGCCAATGTCGTATTGGTTACTTATGTTTAGCGTGTTGATTTTATATTATTATAAATTTAATTTTGCAGTAGCCTGCATCAGGATGTTTGTAAATGTTATTACTCTCGTTATCATTTCTTTAAGTAGCCGTTATTATAATACATGTCTTGACGCTTTTTATTATATCTCGATTATGCATTATAAGCAGTGCTCGCATATCGTGTCGCGTGAGTGCGATAGCTTAAATGTGTGGGTTTAAAAATGTGTGTTGTATTTTGCGTCGCAGTCCGACTCCATCAACAGCCTCGAACACGCACGTTGACGACGTGAGTTCGTCAGAAGCACCGACGCCAACGGCTTCTCCGAGGAAAGAGCCTACTGCTGCGCCGAGCAACAAGTCATCGCTTACGAAGAAACAGCAGCGCGAACTAGCACCCTGCAAGCTTCTTCTCGAACAGTTAGAACGACAAGACGAGGCATGGCCTTTTCTTTTGCCCGTGAACACCAAGCAATTTCCGACTTACAAAAAAATCATCAAAGTACCAATGGATCTCAGTACAATTAAGAAGAAATTGCAAGACTGTGTGTAAGTTGGCTAAGTTTGTGATTCTAATCAAAAACATTCTCCATTTCATCGACGGAAGGATTTTTCAGCCCACGCCTCACTTATTATAAATTTCATTTTTAACGAATCAAAATAACGAATGAGACTATAATTTTCTGACTCGCTTTATTTTTCCAGGTACAAGACCCGTGATGACTTTTGCACTGACGTACGTCAAATGTTTATAAATTGCGAGGTCTTCAATGAAGATGATAGCCCAGTTGGCAAAGCTGGGCATGGCATGCGCACTTTCTTCGAAACACGATGGACTGAAATAACGGGGGTGCCACCGCCGACATCACATCCTCATAGCTGAGGGTCTGCTCGTGTTCGCAGCAGTGGCTGCAATAGTTTTGCACATTTTTACTATTAAATTTAGTTTTTGAATGATTACTCGTCAGTGTTATGAACGAAAAGCGAATGAGTACATATATAATGTCATTGATAGCGTTTTGCATATGTATGTATGTATACGTATACTCACATTCACGAACACACTATTTATACGTTGGTGTGTGTGTACTAATATAGATACAGATGTGCGTTGATTCACACGTTAATACATGCGCTTTGATCGCGTTCTAGCGATCTTTCACTCATTTTCACTACTGTATATTAATTTTTTTATGTACATTGCTAAATTATTCGCTTTTCGATTTAATTCATATGTCCTACTTCTTATTTTTAATTTATGTGTACAATGTTTGTTCGTCGAAATGTTCGTCGAAAAGTATTAAAATACTCACCAAATTATTCGAACAAAAAAGTGGATATCAATAACTCCTAAATGATAAATATGTTGCATTATAATGCGTCTCAAAGTATTGTTTTTTCACAACAGACGAAGAATATTTGAAGTTGAGGTTTCTCTAAATTCGAGCTTTCAAACTTCAAAAAATTTGATTTCATGGATAAATTGCATATTTTTATTGGAAATAGTCGTGAACGAATCATTATTAAAATCGGTCATTGTACTTACATACGAAAGACAATTTTGCCTAATTGAATCCAGTGGTGATTTTAGTAATGTATTATATAGGCTTAAACCTCGAACGTAATCATCGGCGAAAGAGATATTTTACAAGTAACGAATGTAAGATACAAAGAGATAAAAATATATTATATAAATTGAAGTATATATGCAAATAAATATATAGTTGATAAAAAAAATTATTATTATTATATGAATAAAAAAGTATATATATACATATAATGTAAAGTATTCAGTCAAACGATATACACAATATGTATATATGAAAAATTATATCTAAACAATACATTCGAGTATGACACAAATGAATATTGTATCTTGATAGTAATATAGAAAAAAAAATTTGAATGCCATTCCAGATCACAGTTCATGAAACCATTGTAATTTTTACAAGTTCGGAACAAAAATTCATTGAATAGGGTGTAAATAGTAATTGAAATCATTTTTTCCTAGAAAAACCACAGTGGTTTAAAGTATGTAAAAAAGCCAGGATAATACTGTATTCAAGCTATTGTATGATTAATCAGTATTTTTGGATTGGAAAATACTCAATCGCACTAAATCTGTATTGGAGATAAAAAGAAAATTTCACAGTTATTCGAAAGCTTGAACGTTTATATCATATGTAAAAGACGGGATAAACGAAACGAGATAAACCCTTCAACGGCATATTATACTAATAATCGTAACTACTGTGAATGGATTTTAAACTAGAAAAATGTAATAACGTGGTACTATTTAAGGCATCACAACAAAATAACAAGTTAATGCATGAAAAAATTGTAGATGCAAAGCTCTGCTTTTCATTGTGTAGTGTACAGTTTTATAAAACATTTTTAAATCCGGTTTGAAATTGACATTTGTTATTAAGATTCTTACAAAAGTGGCATTATGAATGTTCTTAAAAATGGTGCAGACGTGTACCATTTCAAACTTTAGAATTCATTGTATAGAATTTTCGCCTGTAATTTCAGCACTATGTCGATAATAGATTGTAAGCAAAACTATATTTCACTTCTACATGTTCACAGTTCAAATTTTTTCGACGAACGAAGTATTGTTTATTTATCTTTCATTTTATTCTAACTCTTAGTGAGAGTAATTAGTAAGCGTACATAATAATACAAGTATTCGAAGTTTCTACGTGAAAAAAAAATTTGATCATATTTTTACACTTCATTTGAGTGAGAAATAAATTTGAGTGATTTGTAATTTTACAAATTTTTAAACGTTAGAAAAAACTTGAGTAATTCATTGAAGTTCTAAACCTATTTATTCATTGGTTGACGACTCGACGTAACTGTTTGTAAACCGATTATAAAACGTAAAAATTGAAAGAAATTATTCGACTCATCATAATAGTTGCGGAGTAGCAATAATTTTTTCACCTACATTTTGCATTAAATATTTTTATACTTTGAAAGCGAATGTTTGGTTAGATGGTATGGATAACTAAGCTTACTCTTGATTATAAAATTTGTTTAAATGTTAGTTTGTCGTTTGTAAAAAATTGTTTCATATCTAAATGAGATGCAGTATTGTGTTGAAAGGAGTCTCGACGGACCCTTTCGAAGTGTGCGTGTATGTTACTACGCTGGTAGGAATGCATATGTAAAGTTAGCAATGGTGAAAAAAAAAATAACCCGAGCAAAAGACAAGCATAAAAAAAAGTAACTTTTTAAGGATTCTGCTCTTATTTGTAATGTAAGTAGTTTTCCGCTAAAACGATTGAACGAGATAACGATGCTTTTTATACGAATTTTAAGTTTTTAAAAGCGAGCCCTTATAAACGCAGTATATACATAATAATAATACTAACTTAAAAAAAAGTAGCGAGAAATCGACCCTATCATTAGGCATGATTGTTATAAATCAACGATTGAAAATTGATTGCGCAAGCGAAGATACGGGCGATTAGAGCGACGACGAAGCGCCGCGAATAAAGCGAAGAGAAGAGAAAAAAAAGGTTAAAGCGATTAATTTAGAAAATATTATGATTGTCTATAGTTTAAACATGAAAAAAAAAACAAAAACGAGAAATGGTTTACTGTAGGTAAACCGTGTTTAATGCTGCTAATTAAACAGACTTAATTAATGTACTGCAAACGAATCAATAAAATGTAAGAAAAGCGTGCATATAAAAAGTCGACTATTTCTTTCGTTCATTCATTCCCCATCGCTTTCTCCGTCCGTATCCGATCTCCGCGTAGAACACCAGACTCGCCATCGTCAGACCTATCAACAGTATGAAGAAGGCCGCGCTCAGCGGATTTATCGTCAGGACGACGGCGCGATCGTAGTCGATGTTGTCGTACTCCACGAAGACCTCGCGCAGCTTGCTGCCGGTTCTGCGGTGAATGACGTTGCCCATGTGGTACAGCACGATTCCCGACTCCGTCAGACGCATCATTATCTGCGCCAAGAAAAGTCACTCAGATGCTCGAACGTGTGATCCGAATCATCCGTGTACGAGAGATCGTTATTACCTCGTTGACGGGTCGGAGCAGCCGAGGACGAAGCGCGAAGCACAGATAGAACTGTCCGAGGATCTCTCGCATGACCCTGAGTCTCTGGAGCGCCACGGCGGTGACGAAGTTCTCCGGATAGTAAACGTCCCCGATGACCTTGCCGATCACGGCGTAATTGCCCTGCAGTAGGCGCTGGGTGCGATTGTGCACCGAGTCCTCGAGCACGAATCTGCTCGGCAGCTGTTTCGCGTACTCGTCCTGTTTTGCAATTGTATTTTAAGTTTTTTTAATCGAGTTAAAAAGTGGCTAGTTATCGATACTCGCTTCGAGATTGAAGTACTCCTCGAATTGGGGTGGAGTCGATTCGCGACCCCAGCTCAGATTGGCATCGATGAATTGCTTCACCGTGTCGATTCTGCATGAACGAGCCATTATATGCTTCACGCGTATGAATAAAAAAAAAGGGTTCGTGCGTACCTCCTCTCGAAGTCCGGATTCGTCAGTCTGGCCGACAGACTACTGTTGTAGCAAGCGATGAGCACGACGGCGACCAGCTGCCACAGCACGAACTGCAGCCTCAACGGGGGTGGCACCCTGGCCGTGGCCGAACCCAACAACCGACCCAGCGACTCGGCCAGGCTCACGGCCAAGTGCCGATAGCGTCGGGGCACTCGGGGATCGCGCAGGGCTCGGCCCCGCAGGTAGACGCTCTCGAGCAGGAGGGCCAGAGCCAAGAGGAGCCAGACCGAGGGCGACAGGGGCCGCGCCAGGGCCCAGACGTTGCTGTAGGAGCGCGGCCGCGGCACCAGGAAGTGTATGCGGGTCTGGCTCCAGGGCTCGCTGAGCGCGACGAACTCGTTGTTGTCGAGGCTGATCCAGATGCCGCCGAAGGCGAGGTCGACCTCGCCGTAGTACAGCTGGCCGATCATGCCGCCGTTCCAGTCGGTGTCGTTGAACTTTCTGCCGTGGCTGCGCAGCCGCGATCGAACGATTGGGTTTGTTTTTTTGGGGCAGTTTTTTATTTATTATCAAATACCGACTTGTAGCGGCCCCTCGGCTTTCTCAGCACGTAGGTGAAATTCAAGGCCTCGGCGAGAATGAGAAACAGCTGCAGCTCTATGCCGTCCAGCTCGCGCTCTATTTTTATAAAGAAAATAAAAAAACGATGACCCATAAAATAACGAGTGGGCAGGATCGATCGTATATTACGTACTGCTGTCGGCTAGAAAAACGTCGGCCTCGATGCCGTTGATCGTCCGTTTGGTGGTCGATTTGAGATAGCACAGAGGTGGATTGAAGTACGTGGCGACTTGCAGCTCTTTGCCTTGAAAATTGACCCGTCTAGCTGATGTCAACGACGACGACGACATTCTGCAACGATTTTTACGATAAGATGGGGCGATAGTTTTAATATGCCGATGTTCCACTTAACTGCTCGGAGCAAGGACCGAATGTGCGGCTCGAGGACGAGTAGCAGCCGTCGCGAAATACGAACGAAATCTCGAGATTTTCATAGTACTCCTCGTGGAAATCATTCAGGAATTGACGCCACTCGTCGGAGATGGTCGAGTCGGTGAGCACGAGAAGTCTTGGCGAATCTTTGACATCTGTCGTGCTAAAGGAAATTTTCCCAAAACAACAGCAACGATGAACGACATATTTAAATGAAAAAAGATTTAAATGTAGAGAATCACCTTTGTAAAAAGTACTTGGCTTCCGACAAGTTGCTAACGATCGCCACACGATCGCTGCATTTCTCGGTACCTTCGTTGGACCAGATGAGAGCGGAGAAATTTTTGCGATTGATCGAAGTGGAGGACAATCGTTTCAGAATGACATCGACGTCTCTGCTCGATGCAGCTATAAGGAACGACACACTCGTGTATTCCGTGTTGATAATTTGGGCATCACAAAATACATTTTTATTTTATAATTCAATTTTTACTATTCATTGGATATGAGATACTTTAAGTAATTTTTTCAATGATATTACTATGATGAGAGATAAAATTAAGAAGTATTAATATTATAATTAATATTATTCATTAACAATATATGATCATTATTTATGAATATTATTATTCCACTTGCAAAAAAGTAATGAGTAGATCTGCAGGGACACCTTTCCTGGCTTTTCATTGGTTGTTGATGTACACCGAAGAAGTTAATGTGGAATAAGTTGGACATGTAGGAGACGATCATTTTGTATTAACGTTTTAAACTTGTCAATTTTAGTACTCGATCAGTTTCACGCAACGCGTAGAGTAGCGCTCTAGTTCGTTGCACGGCTTAAAACACAAAGCACGACGCGGCACGATGTAAACAACGGAACGGCTCTGCAGTGCGATCGTCAGTTATTCCGAGTAGTTCGCCATAGATCGTCGCAGAAAACTTGGTTGTTAACGAAGTTTCAAGTGAAAAAGATGAAATCCAGTGGTTTATCGAACTGTGCTGTTAGGTAATTTTCATTTTACGCGAGTGAAATCGTACAAATATTATAACCTAATACTTGAGTTTGCTGGCATTATTTCAGAGTGAAAGAGGAGCCTAGCGACGAACAAGTGAAAATATTTGACGAACGCGAAGACCCGAAACCCAGTATGAATTCATCGGTAGCCAACAAAATTGACGACGATTTTCAATATCACTTGCGGATTATAAAAGACAGCGATGATTATACAACTGGAAACATAGTTAAAGTAGAACCGGTTGGAGAAGCGAAGGAAGATACAGAAGAAAATAGAAGAATTACAAACACACGCAAGGCTACGGTGGACAATACTACCCACACGTGTAAAACATGTGGAAGAACATTTGCGCAAGCTGGTTATCTCAGAATGCACATCGATTCGATGCATAATAAAGTCACCTATAAGTGCCACGTATGCGGAAAAAAATTCTCATGGAAAGGCAATCTCAAAGTCCACATCGACAAAGTCCACAACGGTGTCAAACATACTTGCGACGCGTGCCAAAAGTCATTCACGGAGAAGCGTCGTCTCAAAATGCACGTAGCCACGGTGCACGATGGTTGCGGAAAAATCGCCAAAGCTAACCTCGAATCGTCGCATCGTTGCAGAACCCATTCGTGCGACGCGTGCGGCAAGTCGTTCGCGCGGAGGAGATATCTTTTGACGCACGTCCGTGCGCTGCACTCGGGTATCGTGCACGCGTGCGACACGTGCGGAAAGAAATACCCCAGGAGGGATCAACTCAAGCATCACGTCGAGGCGGTGCACGAGGGCATCGCTTACGCTTGTGACGTGTGTCAAAGGATATTCAAAAGAAGGGATCATCTCAAGATGCACCTCGACGAGGCGCACAACGGTGTCAATTACGAATGCGACGTGTGCGGAGAAAAATTCAAAAATAGGTACTATCTCAAGTGCCACGTGGACGCGGTGCACAAAGGCATCGCTCACAATTGCGATACGTGTGGAAAGACGTTCACAACGAAGAGCTATCTCCAGATGCACATAGTTACGATTCATGGCGATATTTCGCGATCGTGCGACGTTTGCGGGAAAAAATTGAAAAATACGCCCTACCACAAGTGCCGTAAGTAGATGCGGTGCATAAACAAAGGAATCTCACCCATGCTTGTGATGGGTTCATTCTTAAGCACTTTTATCTATAATAATAATATTATAAGTTTTCCCAATGTTTTATTATTATGTAAAAACAATGTTCAAGTTATACAAAAAATAAACAAATGTTTGTAACACGCAGTGAAGCACATTATTTATCGTAATCTAATGAAATCTTGAGACCCTTTATCACATTTCAGCGTGGTTCACTCGCCCTAAATTCGTTAACGCTATTTACCACATCGATCAATCAATTATTTTGTAAGAGGATTTAAATACCCATAGGGTCTTACCGTCGCTCGTGAGAATATCGCAACAGCGAGACTGTGAAAAGATTCGGTCGAAAACCTGCTCGAGCTGGATACCGATCTCTCGATTTTTCCTCAAAATCGGGCTGGATCTAATTTTATCGAAGCAATCGACGGTGGCACAGAAGATAACGTAAACGAAAACCATCGTCACGAAGTGGTAGTACGTCGTCATAATACGGATGGAAAGAAAAAGAATAATTGCAAATACGAAAGTCGAAGCTCTTGGGGGTAGTAACTGGATCTATTCGCGCGCGCAAGGTCTGCATCGTCGACGAATTCATGTTTATACAGGACGTTTTATTAATCGACCTGTTACGGGGGTCGTCGAGTCGCATTCGGCCCTCAACGGTGTCGGGTATTGTACGCGTATATCAATTATTTTATTTCTCACGACTGACACCTGAAAATTGCGCAAATAAAGGTGTCGCTTATTTAGCATTATTATATGCACTACTATATATTCGATTCGGCGCGACGATACGTACAAGGCACGCTCATAGATACATACGTACACGCGAGAAAGGGGTCGTGCCTTCCTCGCATCATACAATAGATAAGCTCGCGCAGATAAGCTCGTTTGTTTTGTATCTATTTTTTTTTTTTTTTTCTTAACGGTACGCAAGTTTCGATGCAGATACGTATTCGCTCGGTTGCAAAAATTTCATTGCCGCGATCGATTACGCAATTCTTTATACACTCACGTACACACTGAGTTAAGTAGCTCGCGCGTAGCTGCTTTATCAGAGAGGCTCGATGATAAATCGGCGGCTTGTTTTTCTCGATGTTTATAAAATGTGTATATACGCGAACGAAGTCGATGCATATTATATACACAAAAACGACGAGCTCTACGGCGGCGGCGGCGTCGACTGCGGCAGTGCCTCCGTAAGAGGGGACGACGCGCATATTATTATATGCGATCGAAGCGAACGAGAGAAAAAGAGAGGAAAAACATTGCGTATCGAGGCAAAGAAAGAAGATTCGCGCACAGGCAGGAGAGAGAGAAAAAAGACACTCTTTGGCTCTGGCTAATTTATTTGTCTGCTTCAATAGCGCATTCGTGGCACGACGACGAGCGTCGAACAACGATCACCCGAAATTTCAGCAGGCAACGACACGATGCTACCAGCTACCTTCCAGCTCCTCGTCTCGACGACCAGAAATGGTGAGTAAAAAAGCACAAAAAAAACCTATACCATATCTATTCAAATTATAATATACCGTCTCGCTCTATGTGCAGCCGGCTACCAGAGCGCCCGGCGCTTCTCCAACGTCGGCTTCGTCGGCCTCGGCAACATGGGCGGCTTCATGTCGCGCAATCTCCTCAAGAAGGGCTACAAGCTGCGCGTCTACGACGTCGACAAGGCCGCCGTGGCCAGAGTCGCCGCGGCGGGTGCCCAGCCGGCCGCCAACCTGGCCGAGGTCGCGCGCGACAGCGACATCGTCTTCACGATGCTGCCGATGAACGAGCACGTGCTCGAGTGCTACACCGCCGAGGACGGCTTGATCAAGCGAGTATCCGAACCTCACAACCGATTTTCGATGATAATAATATTATAACAACGACCCGTTATCTCTCAGATCGGCCAAGAAGGGCACGTACCTCGTGGACAGCAGCACGATAGACCCGGCGGTGGCGCAGCGGGTCGCCGAGGAGGCGCGCAAGCACCAGCTGAACTTCGTGGACGGGCCGGTGTCGGGTGGCGTCGTCGGGGCCGAGAACGCCAGTCTGACCTTCATGATCGGCGGGGCCAAGGCCGACTACGAGAAGACCAAGCCCGTGGTGGAGTGCATGGGCTCGAGGGCGGTGCACTGCGGCGACATCGGTATGGGCCAGGTGGCCAAGATCTGCAACAACATGCTGCTGGCCATCTCGATGATCGGCGTGAGCGAGGCCCTGAATCTCGGCCAGAGGCTCGGGCTGGATCCGAAGATACTCACGGACATCGTCAACACGAGCACGGGCAGGTGCTGGTCGTCCGAGATCTACAATCCGGTGCCCGGCGTTGTCGCAGGAGTGCCCAGCTCCAAGAATTACGAGGTAAGCTAATCGATCGATCGACGATGATGTGATCGGTATTGAGATTGATCGGTGTGTCGTTACAGGGTGGCTTCGGGGTCGGCCTCGTGGCCAAGGATCTGGGCCTGGCGCAGGCCTCGGCGACCCGGGTGGGCGCGCCCATCGCCCTGGGCTCGCTCTCCCATCAGATCTACCGGACGATGATGCAGCAGGGCCTCGCCGGCAAGGACTTCAGCGTCGTTTATCCGTTTATACGCGGCGAGAATAATAAGTAAATTTATATAAACGATCACACGATCTCTAGTCCAGTTAACGTCGAAGTGCGATATTATCGTATTTATATACTTTCTACAAACAAACAAGCAAACGACAACACTTTTTTTTTTTTTATATGTCACCCCACCGCGTGCGACTGATTAAATTTACTTCTTGTTTTTCAAAAGCACATCTTTTTCATTATCTCTGACTTTTTTTTCACTCACGAGCCTCCGCATTCGAGATACAAGTATACAGCTGCGAATCGACGCCAATTTAGTAGAGTAAATTGCGCTTCTGCTATCGGTTGGTATACAATTTAAAAAAAAAATCGGATGTTTTTTTCTGACGAATGGAGCTGAATAATTAAACCGCAGGTAAGTGAGGTGTACAGCACAAACGAGAAGCGTGTGTTCACGACAGCGAGCTACATTCTATTTCTGACTCTTTATCTCTGCGCATCGAGTGGGGCCACTCGCGATCACAAGGCGATATTTCGATGCGCAAATTTCGACGTACTTACATCGCGTCGCGCGATCGGATGTAAGATTTTATCGGAGCCTGTATAATAGGCAATTAAAAACTCTGGCGATCCGATATTATTATACATTATTATAAGGTGACTCGAAGATCCGGCATTGAATAATATACAATCGATCGAGTTGACCTTTCGCTCTTCATTATAATCCATGTACAATAAAAGATGTATCAATTCTTGGAAAAAAAGTAGCCTTCGCGCCTTTCGGTAATAGACTGCACTACAGCAGTAATACTTAAAATGCAGAGGCGCCTGCACGCATACGCCTCACTGCAATTATACGTATCGACGATTACATTGCCTCGGGCGTAATATAAGACTCGTATTTATACCATGATATTACGCGCCATGTATTATATTCGAGTGGATGCGGGGGACCCCTTCGATTGTGATTCATTGTGACTTCAGTTAGAACGATGGATTCAACTAGACGAGTACAGCAGAATCGTACCATTCAATGATAGGTATACCAATATAGGCCAATAAGTCATCCGATGTAGGTGCAATTTCTCGCTCGCACGAGTATTGTATCGGATCGCGGTTAAAGCCCCTCGCGCGCGACACACGACTGCTATACGCGCGAGGCCCAAAGTATATAATCGGATATGCGAGCGCATCGAAGACTCCGACTTTGAGTCTACCTGCACGCACGGCGTTTGTCTTTTTCTCTCTCTCTCTCTCTCTCTCTCTTTCTCTAATAACAATTGAATAGAGAAAGAAAAGAATCGAGTCTGCGTGCGCGCTAATTGAAGGCGACTCCCGTATACACCGTAAAATAGAGCTCGAACTGCTGCTGTACTCATCGTGGCTATATAAGCCATGGCTAAAAGACCCCACCTTTGAATGTCTATATAGCTGCATACTATCACACGCACACTCACACATACATATACACTCCTCCGCGCGCGAGCCCCAAGCCGCTGCTGCACTCGCAGCGGCGAGAGCAAAGCCTGCAGCTCCCGCGAGAGAGGAGACACCACCCATATTCTCTCTCTCTCTCTCTCTCTCTCTCTCTCTCTGCTTTCAGCTTTCAGCTTTGCTTTGCTTTGCTTTGCTCGTCCGTGTGTGTACATGTATAATATACACTGTATAAGACCCAGCCAAGTATAAGCGTGTCTCTCTCTCTCTCTCTGTAAGTTATACTCCTCCGACGACTCCGTGGTAAAAGACAGTCAAAAAGTTGGGGCTTATATAGCTCGGCAGAGTCACCGCCGCCGCAGCCGTCGCGCCGAGTGTGACTGTGTGTATATTTTTTTTTTCTATATACTCTCAGGCGCTCGCTCGCTCGCGCGCGTGTGTATGTGTGTGCGAGTCCGTTGTTGCTCTGCGCGAAAGACAGAAGGAGAAGACTAGTAGTAGTAGTAGTATAGGCAGCTTATAAAGCCAATATATATAACTCAGCTGTGTTCCGCACACGCAAAAGTGAAAGAGCGAGAGAGAAAGAGAGACATTATATTATACAGAGACTCGTATGTGCTGCTGCTGCTGTATCAGCGAGTCACACACACACGAAACACACACGGGAAGTTTAAGGTGCGCGCAACTTACACACATTCGTGTGCGTTGTATAGCCCAAAGCCACGGTGTGACGGTGCAGTGAGCCCATCTCTCGTCGTACACACACATATACGCGCGTATACTCGTAGTCGTAGTCGTCGTCGTCGTCGTCATAGAGTATACATACGCTCTCTCGCCTGTGTGTGACGAAAGTATCGAGAAGAAGAAGCAGCTAGCAGCAGCAGTCTGTGATATATCGTTGCAACGCAAGCACGCAACGAGGCCAAACTTTTACCTTATATATACGCGCGCGAGATATTATTATATTTATAAATAAATATAATATACAGCGGCCAATACACGTTCTGTCTTTTCGTCGACTTGTAGCAATATATTATATACGTATAGTGTGCGGTGTTTCTCTCTGTGTCTGTGTGTGTGTGTGTGTCTACCGTGTCAAGTATATTTTGTAAGTCGTGCGAGGTGTGTACCCCGAGGACTCCGTTATTTTTTATTCGAGAGGTGTATATCCTCATCTCGGCGTTATAAGGCCCCTGCACGGAACAGCAGCAGTAGCAACACACCCAAGAGGCAAACATGAACAAGACGTGCGCTCGCTGCGAGAAGACCGTCTACCCGATCGAGGAGCTGAAATGCCTCGACAAGGTGAGAGAGCCAACATGAGTATTATTATCCAGCTGTGCGTAAAATGAACCAGTACAGACGGGCACGAGATATCGCGCGGCTTTTGGCGTACATTATCTCGTATCATCTACTTCATTTCGTCATCGTCGTATTATATATATTAGAGACACCTTACGCGCTTTTGCACGTGCATCGCGTCTCCACCTCGTCGCTTTACTCTCTCTCTCTCTTTCTAAGCCAGTCGCTGATTCTCGTACCGCCTTTTTTGGCACGATCGCTCTATAAAAGACGACGATGACGAACCGCTGCCGCTGCCGCCGCTGCACCGGTTGCACAAATAATGCAGCGCTATAATGGTCAATGGGTGTTGGTGCGTATGCCCTCCCTAAAATCCCCGACGACGAGGATGATCGCGCTGGCTGCTGCTGATGATGGTGATGATGATGATGCCGTGGCTGGCTTCTGCCTCCGCCCCGTTCGCGCTTTCTCGGACGTTTAACTCTCTTTCACTCTCGCTTCTTCCTCTCTCTCGCTTACTTGCGTGTCCATCTAAATGAGATAGCCTCCGTTTCCTATTATAAGATGCACCACTGCTGCGTCTCTCTCGCATATACACACCACGACAATGTTTTCTCTTGTGTTTGTACACTCACGGAAACGCGCGCGCCATAAGGATGCCACTGACGCGCTTTTCATTTCTTTTCGTACTTTTTACCCCAAAGTGTATACTATGTATAATGATGTGTCAGTGTCATGTACTTTTTTTTCCCCCTCATATTCTTTTCTTACTTGCAATATTGAAGAATACAGGTCTGCATCTCTTTTATCATTATTTATCCTAAGGAAAATGCAGCACAGAATTGAATCGTTACTGCACATTCAGATTAACTCTAAATAAAAATTTGTCTGTACTTGAAATAAATTAATAGACTATATTTTTTGTGAATAAAATATTAATGCTAAATGGATTATTTCAGGTTTGGCATAAACAATGTTTCAAATGTCAAGGATGTGGCATGACTTTAAATATGAGAACATACAAAGGTTTCAATAAACAGCCATACTGCGAAGCGTAAGTATATTTCATTTAAATTTCAAATTATATTAATTGTCAGAAGCATAAAAAGTCCATAGCAAACTAATGTTGACTTTAGACTTTTGACACACAATAAATTTTTGAGGTGCCGAGGGGATTGTAATATCGAGCTTAATACTTTCCTGCAGATACGCTTCATACAAATAACTAGAAAAAGTACTTATATGACCAATAGAATAATTTTCATTTTATACTATTTCAGGCACATACCAAAAGCAAAAGCAACAACAATGGCTGTAACACCAGAATTAACGCGCATTGCTGAAAATACAAAGATACAGAGCAATGTCAAGTATCATGCAGAATTTGAGAAGGCAAAAGGCAAATTCACCCAAGTAGCTGATGACCCTGAAACTATGAGGGTTAAACAAAACAGCAAGATTATTTCAAATGTTGCCTACCATGGTGAACTTGAAAAAAAGGCCATTATGGAGCAGAAAAGAACAATGACCGGCGAAAATGGGGAACAAATTGGTATGTATAAAATACATTGATGTTCAATCTCCATTTGCTAGAATTAGCATAAATATCACTTGAAATTATGCTTGTAGAATACGTAGAATACACAGATGGTACCATAGCTCCAGCTAGTAGTGTAAATGCAAATACCCTCACCCAACCCCAGCATCAGCAACTTCAGCATCATCAGCAACAACAGCAGCATCAACAACAACAACAAAAACAACATCAACAGCAACACCAACAGCAGCAACAGCACCAGCATCAGCATCAGCAACAACAACAGCACCAGCAGCAACAACAACAAGTAATGAATCGACCTACAGTTATTTCCCCTGTCCAGCGAGCACCTGGTAGGATTGCTGACTATGATCCATTAAGTGAAGCTAGGCCAAGTCCTTATTCTGGTAGACAAACTGCTACTACTGTTATTTATACTAGTGATAAAGGAGCAGGTAGAGTTACTATTTCAAATTTACCATTTTTTCCTTAATCTTATATGTGTATTAAAAAAAGCTATACAATTAAATCTACTCAATTTAATCTTAAAGAAATTCAAACAATTAATAAATTTATCTACTCTTAGTTACAAATCCACCAACAAGAAAAATTGGCTCTGTAGCTGACATTGATCCAGTGAATGAATATTATGGTTCATTGACCCCAGCAACAAATAATAATCATGTTGCACAGCATCAACCACCACCTATGCAAGTTACTACAGGGGTAAGAAGATGCATATGATTTGGATAGAAAATTTTTGTTTTTACGTTATTAACAAAATTATTTCTGTTTACATTGCAGCGCGTTTACAGAGCCATGTACGATTACGAAGCTCAAGATCACGATGAAGTAAGTTTTTGTGATGGCGATCTCATTATTAATTGCACAGCCATTGATGAAGGTTGGATGACAGGTGTTGTTCAACGTACTGGTCGACACGGTATGTTACCGGCTAATTACGTTGAGCCGGCCCAAATTTAGATCGTATAAAAATTTGACATCAGATTTTAGGTCTGTATTAATATTTTTAGTGGCAAATGTCATTTGAATAAAAAATGTAGTTCAGCACGAAAAATTTTAGGATTATAAAATAATTTTGTGATTGATTTAAAGAGGATTAATGAATTGAATACTCTGTGACCACTTCAACTTGTATCGTTTACGATACTTCGTTTTTTCCTTATGAATAGTGCCACTAAATAATGTCTTCTCAGAAAAATGTTATTGTTGATTTAAAGCATTATTTCTTTCACTAAGTTGTGCCTGCATTTGAAGTCTTAGTTTTATAATTACTAACAAGTTCGTTTATTTTAAGTCATATAATGAAAATCGAAAAATGATAATAATTTTCGAATCAACTGCTAAGCTTGCTTATTTTAACATCTGAATGATACAATTCATCATTTTCATTCTTTAATGATGCATTTATAAAAACAATCAAAGCAATACAATTTCAAAATCAATTTTCATAAAGTATTCTATGCTATTAAAAGTAGATTCAAAAGTATTCATACAAGATTAAATTCATTGAATATATATATATAGTATTTTTAAAGTATACTATAATGTAACCAATTTATTTGAAAGTTACAATATTGTGTTGCAATATTTAAAGTTAGCAATTAAAAATTTTAGCGGACATTGAATATTGAAAACAATAATCATTAACACATACATATTTATTGATCGTTGGGACCAGGAGCAATTACATAAATGTTAGAAAATATAAAAAAGTTATGAATGTGCAGATTTTAAACCGAATGATTTTCCATTAAAAAAATGTTTGGAAAAAATTTATGATCGACGAGACCTGAAATGGAAAAATTTGTTCAAACAATGAATTATTTAAAAAATTTTAAGTATTAAAATCAAATGAAAAAGGTCTATATAGGTCCGAATCGGGTTCGATCAATGCACTCCTTGATATGCACTGTAGCATTTATCAAAGTTAATGAATACATCTACTCCAGATTTTATGAAATCGTTTGAACTTGCTTTTTTACTTCTCGTATGATTCATGATAATTTTAAACGTTCCATCTACAACGTGCAAGAAGCATGAAACAGATTATATTTTTTATAATTTTTCTCAATCAAATGGTTTAGTAAAAGTATTTGCATTTTAAAAACGTATAGCATTGTGTTACAGCGATTCAATATATTTTAATGCATGCGTTTTTATGATAGTATTTCATAGTACGTTACGTAGGATGTTTGATCTATAATTAATTAAATTTGCCTAGCGGTGACTATTTATCCAGATCGAAAGTCCATTAATTATTTCTATTGGTAATTATTCTATTTGATGTTCATTTAAGTGCCTTATCTAAAAATTTCTACATCTATACGGATTTTTTGAAATGTTTTACATTTTTATAAGATTTTGATTAATGTACTTTCTGCGGTATAATGATCTTCGTTATTATTATTGGATTTACAAAATTTTATATGAAAAAAATTAGGTATGTCGTTAGCGGATATGAATATTAAAATAATTGTTACTTGCCACCTTTCTCTAAACCTGAGAATACAAATTAATGTTATTTATATATCGATTTCAACTGTTCAACGTGAATAACCATATATTTACACAAATAGATGATAAGAATTTATCATATATGTAGTAGTTTACCTGATTAAAAGTTTATACATTTTACACATGAAAAATTTGTAAAATATACATGTTGCCGTGTTAACTTGAAAAAAAATTGTATCTATGTATCTCATGGCCAATGAAAATTGAATAAAAAATATCTCATTGAATTATAGTCTTTATTTTAAGATCATTTTTTTACAAAATTATAATCCATGAAAGATTTAATAATTTATATATTATATATAAAGCAATAGAACTAACATGAAACTCTTCAGTATAAAGTTTACTCTTATACGTGTATACATCTTATACGTATACAATTATACATACAATTCATTCTTTACAGTGCTTAAAAATTACTACAGTTTTATGATCTAAATATTTATAACCTTAAAGTCCATAAAATAATTTAACTTGTACTATCCTTTTGAGCCCGTCCCACAACTTTAGGTACTTTCTTATTTGTTGAGTCCTCCAATTCTTTTGGCTTGTAGTAGTGTGGGGCTACTTCCAGTAACCACTTGGATTCTATTTCTGTTACCTAAATAAAAATATAAATTAGATAGAATTTTAAAAGTTGTAATTATGTGTTTTGATCAATATAATTTACCTGTCGCATAAATTCTTTGGTAGTAAATACAAGCTCGTGATACAAGACCCATCTAGGTAATTCCTCAAAAAGTGCACTGCTTGGATGAATTTGAACAGTTTGATTGTGTTTCGCTGTTTTATAATGTCCCCCTTTTGATAATCTTGCAATATGGTAAAAATAGCCAGCTGTAATAGACTTTCTTATATTTACAGTCTCCGTGATACCAGAAACGATATCCATTTCAACCCTTTGCATTAAGCCAACCAATTGGTCCTTGACGTCTCTCGCCCTTTTCATTGACTTGTGCTGGATGAAATTTTCATAACACCAATGAATGTTATAATCGCTTGCCTGCCACTGATTATAAACATTGAGAAGTACCAGATGATCTCCCCCGGGGACATTGAAATTTTTTCTAGCAGCGTCCGCGTGAATGATTTTGTCTTTGGGACGATAAAAAATGGAACCGTTGACAGATAGCATAGCTGCTATCGTGGATACTTCCTCGGAGCATTTGTACTTTTCGCTGGCCAAGAGCATTTTGGCCATCATCGGATCCACCGGGAACTCGGCCATTCTTCGACCGAGCTTGGTCAATTCACCTCTGTGATTCAGAGCGCCGAGAGCATACAATTGCTCCAAAGCCAGTACGAGCGTTTGATGCGGCGGAGGATCCAAAAAGTCGAAATGCACGAGATCGTTGATGCCCAGTGCTTTGAGCGTAAGCACGGCGTTTCCCAGATTGATTCGCTGTATTTCCGGCACGGTGTTCTCCTCGAGCTCGTGCTGGTACGCCCAAGCCGTATAGAGCCTGAAGCATTTGCCCGGGGCGACGCGTCCTGCTCTGCCCGCTCTCTGATTCGCCGAAGCCTTGCTTATAGGCACCACCATGAGACTCTCCATACCGGTGCGAGAGTTGAAGTTGTTCTGCTTGGCGAATCCTGGGTCGATGACGTAGATTATGTTGTCGATCGTCAAGGACGTTTCCGCGATATTCGTGGCAAGAACGACTTTTCTGGCGCCAGGCGGCGTGGGCTCAAAAATTTTGTTCTGCATATCGCTGGGCAAATTGGCATAGACCGGTAATATCAGTAACTCCCTCAACTTACTGCCTAATCTTCTAACGCGTTCATTTAACATTTCAAAACAGGTTTCAATTTCCTCTTGACCTAAAAATAAAAAATCCAAATAAACAAATGTCTAATAAGTTAGAGCTAGTATGTTATTTTCACATTTCCTGTACAGTACCTGTCAAAAACACAAGGATATCTCCGTCTGGCTGTGTTGCATGGATCTGTAGAACCGATACTACAACTGCGTCAACGTAATCTGCTTCGGGTGCTTTGGTGTAAAATATATCTACAGGGTATCTCCTTCCAGGAACTTGGAATATCGGAGCATTATCAAAAAATTCACTGAATTTCGTAGCATCTAACGTCGCTGATGAAATGAGCAATTTCAAATCTGGACGAAACCTGGCGATGTCTTTTACTAAGCCGAATAAAATGTCCGTGTGTAGTGTCCTTTCATGAGCTTCGTCGATAATCATTACGCTATAGGAGGCTAAATCGGGTTCGCTCAAGAACTCTCTGTGCAATGTACCGTCCGTCATGTACTTTATTCTTGTACGATGAGATGTGCAATCTTCAAAACGAATGGCATAACCAACTTCATTACCTAACTTGACACCCATTTCGTGAGCTACTCTTGCTGCCACAGACATAGCTGCGACACGACGAGGCTGGGTACAACCTATCAATTTATCATTATCACAGAAGCCGTTTTGGTACAGATATTGGGGAATCTGAGTCGTTTTTCCAGATCCAGTCTCTCCTTTTATTATAAGAATCTAGAATAATATAGAAAACTTTAGAAAAAGTGAAAAATCATTCAATTGAATAGAAAATAAAATCAACAAAATTAGATAGATGTAATGCAAATTAAAACCAAAATGCTTGAAACATTTTGTATACATTATGTAACTGTACTGATATAAGTTTGAATATGATTTGAATTTATAATAATTATTGTTTACAGTATGATAGAAAAGCATAATGAAACTAGAAGCCTTTTCTGAACATACCAAAATCATTATAACTATTGACTGTACTATTAATTAAATTTGTACAAATAAAACATAATATAATTATTTATTAGTGTACTTTACAATAAAAACACGCCAGTAGAGAGTTTTGAGTTAAAGTAACTTTAAAATAAAACAATATTTTATAAACTATACTTACTTGATGTGTTCTAATTGCATCAATCAAATCTTTTTTGAAAGGATAAATTGGTAAACTTTTTTGTGTTTCTTCAATTGTTGTTAATTTTTTTTCTTCAGTCTTTTTTTGAATAACTTCATCTTTTTTATCACCAGGCATTTGAAGAGACTGAATAAAGTCAATTTCATCTTCCAAAAGAAGTTCATACTCTTTTTGCGCTAAAATTTAATTTAAAATGTTAGTTCAAATTATGGAACTATACAATTGAAAAATTGTTAAAGGAAAATTAATAAACCTTTTCTATCCTTGGCTCCAAATTTATAAACAGCGGATGACATCTGTTCGGTTTCCCATTTTGCTTGTTCTGATTGAGGTTGTTCCCTTTCTTGGTATTGGTCTTCTTCAACTCCTTTTTCAAGTGGCATCCGATACCTTTGTATATTTTCAAGTTCTCTGGCTTTTTCATGTTCTTTAGCTATTCTGAGTAACTCTTTTTTGTGTTCAAGGTCTCTTTTTTCTTTTTCGGTTAATCTGAAATAATTTTAAGTCAAAAATGTAATATTTCACTAATTTCATGAATATAATAACTATTGCAATAATCTTACTCAACATCGCCAAACAGATACTCGTCATCTATGATATCTGCCTCCAGCTCAGCAACTTTATCCTCTTTCCTTTTCTCCAAGTACTTTCTTCTAGACTCAATACGCAATTTAGGTATAATTTTTTCTTTTGTGTCTTCTTCAATGAGTTTGAGTCTTTTGGCAGCTTCAGCTGTAAAAATAATAAAGTATAAATGATTTCTTAAAGAAATAAGTCAATAATATTACTATGAAAAATTGTACCTTTTCCTGAAGCTGACTCAGCGGCAACTGCCACTCTTTTTGTTCTTTTCTCATCTTTTTCTTTCAGGCGACTTGCAAATTCATCTCTTTCTTTAATATCCTTTTTCCTGCGTTCTTCCTCGCTGTCATAGCTTGAATCTTCACTGGATTCTCGCCTGTATCTACTCATTTTTTAGACTAAACTGCAATCAAAAATGTACACATGAATTATTTTCTTCTCACTTTAATGACGTATGTTTCACGACAATCGCCGAATAGACCCACTGATAATAATATAACCTATCACTCACTTTTAGTCTGAATTATAATAAGTAGTCCGTAAAACGATGGCTTGATTTAGATATTTACAGGTAACGATAGCAATTCACGTCGCCTGCACGACATAAATATACTCAATGACTGCTACGAACCAAAGTTTTCACGGTCAATGTTTTGTTTGCAAGTTTAAATGCTAGCTTACGCGCACCGCTTGCATGCATCAAAACGTTGTTTTGAAGCAGAAGGCGACCTCTGTCGCTCCATATACACTGTCCATGTTACTTTCTCGTGGTGCGTTGCGCTCCAAAGCCTGCACTCCAGAGTCAGCGCGACTTTTTGCAATGCCGGCTATCCTATAATATGTATAGGTCGTGGCTGAATATATTTGCATACATTTACCTGCAGCGCAAAACTGAACGAGGTGCGCCTAAAATGAGCTCCGTAAAATGTATGAAACAACGTCGTCGTGTTCTGGCGCTACGCACGCGGGTCGTCGCTATTTAAATAAAAAACGAAATAAAAAAATACGAGTATACGAGTATTTATTTGATACATTCAAATTTTGGCGCAATTTCATGTAGATGGCGCGTGCGAGCCAAATTAGAAAGTGAGCGGGAGCCGCGCTACGTGTGCATATAACGCATATAGTCTGGCTGCAAGTCGGAGCGTGTTCAGTTGTAAGTGTATCGCTGACGAGGCACCATCAATTCATTCATCGGATCAAAGCAGACGACCACATAACACGGACCTAGAAACATCAATTTTTTTTGATTACTGCTAACACACATTGATCCTCTCAAGCCGGACAACGTGTTTCCAAGCGCAGAGCATTTGTCGGTATACGTGAAAATATTCATTTTTTTCATCTACTACACATTTCTCATCTCACCGATATCGTTCAGTCAAGCGCACGCACCACGTGGTCGTGATTTTTTCTTAAGCGCAGTGTGTAGTTTGTCGGCATAACATTGGCCCAAAAACATCTTTTTTTTTCGTCCAGTGTAAAATACAGTAAGTGCCATTCGACTGTTTTTACTGTAAGTATTAATTTTTATAATTTTTAATTGTTCAAAAGTGAGTTTAGATCAAGAGGCAGTGTTCAGTGTGTAAACGAATTTATTCGATTTTAACTTGCAGTATATATAGAAAATATGAGTCAAAAAATGATTAGAGCCATGAAGGACTTAAAATTGAACAACGTGGAATGTAAATCTGATATTAAGAAATCAGAAGAAGATCAACATTGTAATTCTGATTTTATCAATATTTTAAAAGTACTTGATGATGAGTTCCAATCCTATAAAGAATCAGTAATATCAGATTTACAGAGTAGAGCGTCTACCTCCAAACCAACAAAATCAAGTACAAATATTAAAGTTTATGGACTAGAATTCATAAATAGTTTTATTAATGATAAAAGCTATGAATGTAACTTTTATGAAAATAGTTTTAATAGACAAGTGTCTTTAGGTGGCAGCTTAGATTTGATTATTAATTCAAAGTTAAGAAATGGCAAACAATATTTTCATTGTGTGGTTTGCAGAAAAAACTACAATCCTGATTATTTTACTTTGATTGAACATATAATCAGTGCGTCACACATGAAAAATTTGCAAAGCCTAATAGAGTATGCTACACAGTACAATCATGATGAAATTCAAAATATTACTTGGTTTGCTGAAAATTATATTTCAGTAAAGTGGGACGACGCCAAGGCTAGGTGTCATGCATGCCAAGTCAATTTAATAAGAGAAGAAGACAGACAATTACACATGCAAACAAATTCTCATGTAAAGAAGGTTCAACAGATAAAAGTTTATGATATAAAGCAGAAAATTCTAGCCATCATAGAAGATGTTTGGTATTACACTCGATTTTTTAATTGTACCTTGTGCAATGAAGAGTTTGATACAGAAATGGAATTTCTTGAACATTTGAAGAGCGATGATCATTATAATATTGAATTGCCATTCAGAGCTATAGGGGGTGAAATAGTTTTCCTAACATGTTTTGCATGTGAAACAGGCTTTTATGGAGATCTCAGAAAGTATTATGAACACTGTGAAGATATTTTTCACAAACGCTATTCTAAAATAGGTGACTTTGTTCTGTCGGAAATGACGCCACCCTTGTTGAAATTATTAGATAATATAGAAGATTCAAAACAAAAATGTATCAAGGAATCAAACTCAGTCATTTTAGAAGATGAACAAGAACAAAATGTATTGAAAGAAATTATAAAAGTTGTTGAATGCATTTATCCAAACGCAAAGGCACATATATTTGGTTCAAGATGTTCCCAAACTGCACTATCTAATAGTGATTTAGATATTTTTTTAGATTGTGATGATATGTATTTTAAAGACTGTAATAGTGTCCTTGACCTAAAACATTTAAAATCAGTGATAAAATGTCTTAATAATCATAAAGATGACTGGTACATATTCGAAGTATTAGATGAAGCTAGGATACCTATTATTAAACTGCGTCATTATCCATCTGGTCTCGATTGCGATATCTCTTTTTCGAATGGACTGGCTCATAGAAAATCTAAGCTTATTAGGTAAGCTATTTACACTGATGATTAAATATATCTTTACCGCATTTATTTAAATATATCTTTATTTTTTTAATCTCATTATTATTTACAGATATTACAATGATGCTTATCCAATGTGTAGGGAGCTTATATTGTACTTAAAAAAATGGGTGGTGTATTCACAATTGTCAGGCCCCGAAGGTATTTCAACTTTCACCATATCATGGCTTGTCATATTTTACTTACAATGTAAAGGTGTATTTCGAAATGTCTATGATTTGTTAAAAGCTCAAAGAAGTTCCACAATGATTGATGGTGAATATATATTTTTCAATTTTTTCAATGCATATTTTTTTTGCTTAGAATATTTAGAAACTAATTGAATAATTTATTTTTCAGATTGGGAATGTGGATACAGAGAAGATTTTTGTCTCAAGTCAAATTCAAATTCAAGTTTCGTCGATCATCTGGTAGGCTTTTTTGAGTTTTATGCTAAATTTGATTTTCACAAGAACGTAATATGTCCGTACTTGGGTATTACACTCGAAAAAGAAAACTTTGCAAAGATGGAACTTCCCTCAAGTCTTCTATCTATACTAAGTGTTAAAAAGAAGAAAGATGTATCACTTTTGCAATTTGACTCACCAATGTGTATGCAGGATCCAACAGAATTGGGGCAGAATTCAACAAAAGCACTTAAAAAGCGCCAACTCAGATGGTTTAGAGAATATTGTTCTATAAGTGCAGAGAAAATTAAATCACAACGGTCTCAGAATTCAACAAAAGTTCTAAAAAAATGTCATTTTTGGTGTCTCAGAGAATATTCCTCCGCAAGAGCCAAGGAGAGGAAACCTTTGTAATATAGTTTTATTCGATATGATAATTGAAAACATCGAAATTGTTTGTAATGGTTTTTACAAAGAAAATTTTATTTTTCAATTCTGTAATATAGTAATTGCCACTTTAGTGAAAAACTGCACTATACTTTGCGCAACAATAATGCATAAATTTTGTACATAAAAGAGTATTTTTGTAAATATATTTGTATTAAGTGATTAGAAAAATTAAATAAATGTTTTTGAAAGTATTCATGTAATATTTATTATAAAAGTAATATTTAATGCCCAATATATTTTTATAAATAACAAAATTTTATAATTCATGTCATGTGAAGTATCCAATTCACAAAAAAATATATTAAATCTAATTGCATTCTCAATATTTTGAAAATCTAAACTTTGAAAACACTAAAAATGATTTCTTTTTCTGGTTAATCGAGTTCTGTGTTAAAGCATTGTTCTATTTTTGTTTACATTACATTTCTAATATAAATATTATATTTGCTCTCGAGTCCTGTCAGTCAGTTCGTTACCCACGTGACAAGACAAAGCGCAAAATTTTCGCGGGAATCCCGGCAACTGTAGCTTCTGCTGTGAGAAGTGCTGTGATTTTTCTGTGACCCACTGCCTTTTTAACCTTTTAAAGTTATTGAAGGCAATTATATTGGTATTATCTTTATTTAATTTTAACGATAAAATCTTTAAGTATGGAACTAAGTTGGGAGTGGTTCGCTAAAAACCGAATCATTAGATGGAAAAAGAGTTTTAAGTGCATTTTGTGTACCTTTGAATTTGGAGAAGATTATGATGAAGATTATTTTGATGATATTACGGATCACGTTAAAGAGAGTCCTTTTCATATAGAAGTAAGCAAGACGATACATTGTGATTTGAAAGATTCTACAGGAAAACTAGCTAGTACACGCTTAGTTGAAGAAATAGTGGAAAACTGTGTTTTTTTCAATACCCAAAAGAATGAGCTTACATGCTATCTGTGTCAATGTGCATTACAATCCTTTCACAATCTTAAGCACCATATAAAAGGTTACAGACATCTCAGAAATATGAAATTGAAAGAATCTCGTATGGATCCTAAAACATATGTTTTTACCAATAGTTTATATTGCAAAAAGTGTAAAACTTGTTGCCAATCTCCCATGGGAACCTTGATGCACGTTATGAAGCATTTTCCCAAAATGCTCAAATGTCCAACTAATATTGATATTATAAAAGTTTTATATAGTCATTTTGTATGTTTGCTATGCAATAGAAACATTGGTTATAATGATTTGGAAGAGCATTTAATGTCTGCGCAACATGTTAAACGAAATGATTTCTTGAAAAGTAAAAAGCAATTACCACAAGAAATTCAGATTACCAAAGCTGAATTGAATCGTATTAAAGACACATTTTTCAACAATTTTGATATTGATACATGGTATTGTAGTAAATGTAAAAAAAACGTTTCAAGTAAGTCTGGACTTGTTCGTCATTTTTTGGATGAAAACCATAGAAAAAATTCTGCAAAAAATCAATGTAGTAGTGATCATTTGCTTCTAGAAAGTATCATCTCTTATAAGTGTTACTTGTGTAATGAATCATTTGGTTCTGATATGTTTTCTTTGTTTCTTCATTATCATAATTCACTTCAGCATAAAATACAAATGGAAAATTTCCATAAAATTGTCAAGGAAAACTATCTAGAAATGAAAGAACTGAAAAATACAATTGTTATAGAGTGCTCATTATGTAAAATACAAGTTAATGATATGGTATCTGTTGATACACATTTGAGTGGGAAAAAACATAAATCTTGTGAAATTTTGAATAAACAGTTACCAATTTCTCAAATAAAATCATGTCAAACACAATTTAACAAGAACACAGGAAACAAAGAAATGGATATTAATGAAGTGAAATGTGAAAAATCTAAAATGTTGGAACTAGCATCAACAAAACAAAAATCTGAAGATCATTATAAAAAAATAACAGAAAATAATAATACTGAAATGTTTAACTCTATTACAATAACTGATGAAGAAATAATTGAGCTGGATGTGCTTGATATTTTAAATGATATAGATGAACTTAATTTAGGAATAAAACTAATGGATCGATTCATTCCTGCACACAAAAAAGAATCAAAATCAAGTTCACCTAATGTACAGATAGATAAAGTCTCAAAATTTGATCAAAACATTTTGAATAATGGTACACAATATATAGACTTTTGTATTAAACAGGGCAAAAAATATATATACAATATAAGTGGCAACAAATTAGCTTTTATAAACTTAAACATTGATTTCATAATTAAAAACAATGATAATCAGTTCTGTTTGCTCTGCAATAATCAAATTTCCAGTGAAGTGCATGTTATAGTGGAACATTTGTTTTCTAAAAAACACATTGAAAACTTACAAAAAAAAAATAAAAGCTGGAAGAAAATGGAAGGTTCACTCAACATATCCAATGATAATTTAACATTTGCAATACCTTATATTTTGAGAACAACAAATGAATCTTTTTATTGCCATGCTTGTAAAAATAATGTTGTTGAGTACAACTTTTTTGAACATTCTCTAACTCAGGATCATATGCTTAAATGTGAGGATTTGAGGAAAAATTCTATTGATACTCTTAAGAAAATTATGTTACTCATGAAAGATACATGGTATTACGCTCAATTTTTTGATTGCCAAGTGTGTAATCTTAAGTTCCATATGGAAATTGAATTTGTTGAACATTTAGAAAATCAAAACCATTGTAAGAAAGTAGAAAAATGCATTGCAAGTGGTGCCACACTAGAATTCCATACATGTTTTGCATGTATAACATGCATTTATGGAGATTTCAGTAAATACAATGCTCATTGTGATGATATTTTTCATAAACGCTACTTAAGTAAAGGTGATTACACTGTGTCAAAAATGATGCCTCCCTTATTAGATTTATTGAATGAAATAGAAGATAAGAAACAAAAATTATTGTTTGAATCAGATTTAATTATTTTAGAAAACCCTAGAGAAAGGAGTTTGTTAAAAGCTGTTGAAAAAGTTGTTGAAAATGTTTATCCAAATGCTACAGCATATAAATTTGGTTCAAGATCTTCTCAAACGGCACTCTCCAATAGTGATTTAGATATTTTTTTAGATTGTGATGATATGTATAACAATAATTTTGATGCTGCAAGCAGCCATAAATATTTATCATCGGTGAAAAATTGTTTTGAAAGTCATAAAGATGTATGGTACATAGAAGAAGTGATAGTTGATGCTAGTACACCGATTATTAAGCTACGTCATTATCCTACTAGTCTTAAGTGTGATATTTCTTTTTCAAACGGTCTGTCTCACAGAAAATCTAAGCTTGTTAGGTAAGCTGTTTACATTTATGATTCAATATATCTTTACCACATTTTTTTCAATTATTTAATTCTTGACAGGTATTACAATGATGCTTATCCAATGTGTAGGGAGCTTATTTTGTATCTTAAAAAGTGGATAACTTTTTCCCAATTATCTGGTACTGAAGGAATTTCAACTTTCACTATCTCATGGCTTGTCATTTTTTACTTGCAACGCAAAGGCATATTTCCAAGTGTACATGAGCTAATAAAATATCAAACTCGCTCAATAATTATTGATGGTAATATATCTTCATGTATTTTTTTTTTAAATATGTATGAATCATTTTACTTGAAATATTTAATAATTGAATGAAAAAATAATCATTTCAGGCTGGGAATGTGGATATCAAGAAAATATTTGTATCAAGTCTAATGATTCTACTTTTTCTGAACATCTTGTTGGGTTATTTACCTTCTATGCAAAATTTGATTATCAAAAGTATGTTATTTGTCCTTATTTGGGTAAAATAATAGAGAAAGAAAAGTTTGCTACTAGAGAATTACCGGCGGAGCTTACTGCTAAACTAAGTAAACGAAAAAAAAAGGCTTTAGCATTTTTCCGATTCGATTCTCCAATGTGTATGCAAGATCCAACAGATCTATCTCAAAATTCAACAAAAGCTCTTAGAAAACGTCAACTTAGATGTTTCAGAGAGTATTGCTCATCAAGTGTTGAAATAATTCAATCTGGACAACAAGATTCATCTGTATAATGCATATTATTGAAAACTCAAATTATTATTTTTATAGTACAAAAACAATGAGACTTTATGATTTATAAATGAAATGCAATCATGATGTTATGTTACTTTCATTGTTTAAAATGTTTACAAAACATCGATTCAAATGTCTGATAAAAAGTATTTAATGTACTATTTTTATTATTTTTTAATTACTTATTTATACTCGAAAATAGAACTCATGATATATTTTTATATGATTTTTACATGATACAGTTTTTGAAGTCTTTTATAAAACGATTTTATTCAAAATAATTTAAGAATTCTTTTATTACCTTTTTCTCATTTATACCTTCTAATTTGCCAAGTCGAATATTTCAAACGTACATTTTTTTGAAATAAAATTATAACGCCAAATGGAAAAAAATCCAAGTAATAAAATGAGTTTTCTTTGCTGTATTTAATTGTCGTGTATAATTTTACGTAAGTTGAGACTATATCTATCGTATGATCGTGAGGTCAAATTTTTCAAAATTCTCTAAGTTTTACGAGAAAGTCTCTGGGAAATCCGATCTCCCCATTAAAATATTGAGTTAATTAACTTTTTTAGATGCATTTTGATATTTTTGAAATGAGTTCGAAATTGAACGGTTCGATTAAATAATACCGCGCGATGCAGTGCCGACTGAGCTTACGTGAAATGTCAAATATACCTCTCAGGCGATATCGGCAATCGGTCTGAATGGTTACACGTGACGCAAACTGCGCAACATTCTCATGGGAATCCCGGCGACGCGATACTATCTATAAATAGAACATATGTCTCGCCGAGAGCTGATGCGATTTAAGTGTATTCAGTTGTAGGTAATACGTGGACGCGAAATCAACCATTTGTTGTCGAGCGTAAGACGTAGATTTTTAACAACATATTATTTAATTTGTAATTGTTAAAAGTGAGATTATATTATACAGAATAATGTTTAAAGTGGCAACAAGCTTTTATCAATATGTTGTGAAAAAATATCAGAAATATCGGTCAAGAAATAATTTAGAAGTTACCACAGATGAATCAAAATCGAACCATGCAACAAATGTAACTGATGTTACAACGGTAATCCAGCCCGTGTCTCAACATTGCGATCCTGATTTTATTGACCTTACAGCATTAGACGATATGTTTAATTTTGATAAAATATTAACATTAGAATATTTGCCAGCTTTTAAAAAAGAGTCAAAAAAAGTGTACGCCTCAAAATCGAGTAGATGGACCAAAAATATAGAATTACACGGGTTGGATTTTATACATCTTTTTATCAAAGACGGTGAACGTAACTTGTATAGTCACAGTAATATCATGAAAAATTATGTACTTAGCAGCATAGACTTGATTATCGACTGTGATGATTATTTTTTTTGTGTGGTTTGTAAGATGAAAATCTGCGATGATTATTATTTTTTAACGGAACATATCTTTCAAAAGAACCATATAAAACATTTGACATTAGTGCAAAATAATCATTGTGTAGATAAGTATAATTTTCATGAATATACTGAGCTCATTTGGTTTGCTAAAAATTGCATTTCGGTAAAAACACATAAATGGTCTTACTGTCATGCATGTAAATTAAAATTCAGCACAAACAACATCCAACTACATTTGCAAGATCGAAATCATATTGATAAATATGATGACTTATATGATGATAATTTCAAATCAGAATTAATAGCTTTTGTAGATGATATATGGTACTATACTCAATTTTTTAATTGTACGTTATGTCATAGAGAGTTTCACACAGAAATTGAATTTCTTGAACATTTGAAACATAAGAACCATGAAGAAAAAGTTGGCATATGTACAACCAAAGGAGATGAATTAGAATTTCAAGTATGTTTCGCATGCGTAACAGGCTTTTTTGGAGTTCGGGAAAAATATTACGAACATTGTCAAGATATTTATCATAAACGCTATTTGACAAAGGGGGATTTCAATGTTCCAGAAATGAGGTCACCTGCAGTAGATTTATTAGACAAAATAGAAAATAAAAAACGAAGATTAATCGATGAATCAAACTCGGTCGTTTTAGAATTTATACAAGAGAAAAATGTATTGAAAGAAGTTATAAGAGTTGTTGAATGTGTTTATCCTAAGGCTGTAGGATATATTTTTGGATCAAGATGTTCTCATACAGCTCTTTCAAACAGTGATTTAGATATTTTTTTAGATTGCAATGATGGATATTACAAAAATGTTGACTCTGTGTTGGTCCAAAGTTATTTATCATCTGTGAGAAAATGTTTTGAAAATCACAAGGATGAATGGTACATAGAAGAAGTGATAGTTGATACTAGAATACCTATCATTAAACTGCGTCATTATCCTACTAGTCTTAAGTGTGATATTTCTTTTTCGAATGGCCTAGCTCATCAAAAATCTAAGCTTGTTAGGTAAGCTATTTACATTTATGATTAAATATATCATTGGCGCATTTTTTTAATCTCATTATTATTTACAGATATTACAATGATGCTTATCCAATGTGTAGGGAGCTTATTTTGTATTTTAAAAAGTGGATAACTTTTTCCCAATTATCTGGTACTGAAGGTATTTCAACGTTTACTGTATCATGGCTAGTCATTTTTTACTTGCAATTCAAAGGCGTATTTCCAAGTGTATACGAGTTAATAAAAAAGCAAACTCGCACAATACTTATTGACGGTAATATATACGGATTTCATTTATTTAAACGTGTATAGATTATTTTACTTGAAATATTTGACAATCAAATAAAAAGATAATTTTTTCAGGCTGGGAATGTGGATATGAAAAAAATATTTGTGTCAAGTCCAATAAATTTAGTTTTGTTGAACATCTTATCGGCTTGTTTATCTTCTATGCAAAATTTGATTATCAAAAGTATGTTATTTGTCCTTATCTGGGTACAGTGATAGAAAAAGAAAAGTTTGCAGCTAGAAAACTACCTTCAAGGCTTACAGATAAACTAAGTAACCGGAAAAAGGAGGCTGTATCACTTTTTCGATTTGATTCACCAATGTGTATGCAAGACCCAACAGATCTTTCTGAAAATTCAACAAAAGCCCTTAGAAAACGTCAACTTAGATGTTTCAGAGAATATTGCTCATCAAGTGCTGAAATAATTATATCTGGAAAACAAGATTCATCTGTATAACGTCTATTATTAAAAATTCAAATTATTGTTTTGAAATTTCAAAGACAATGAGAATTCATGATTATCAACGAAATATAACTTCGCAGTGGTTGTCCCTTTCGCCGTTCAAAATATTTGATATGATACATACATTGATTTAAACTTGGAAAAAAATAACTTTAATGCACTATTTTTGCATTTAAATATGTATTTATTTAAAAAAATGTTGCAATGGATAATGTATTTCTACAACAAACATTTTTTAAAAGGTTTTTTAAATAAAACTATTTTATCCAAAATAATATTTTTGTATTTACAAACTAAAGACTTTAATTGTAAACTAATTACAAGTACTTTCAACAAGCTAATTTAAAACGTGAAGTATATGAGTGGATGGTTTGTTTTGCCTCCAGTCAATGTAAAATTGTGAATAAACAGTTAACAAATACTGAAATGAATATTTTATGAGGAAATGAAGAAATAATTATTTTAAATAATAATCACTTTAATTTAGTTGAACATCTTGTTGGACTATTTACCTTTTATGCAAAATTTTACTATCAAAAGTATGTTATTTGTCCGTATTTGGGTTCAATAGTAGAGAAAGAAAAGTTTGCTATTGGAGAATTACCTACGAGACTGACAGCTATCCCAAGTGATAAAAAAAAGAGGCTGTATCACTTCGTCTCGACTCTCCAATGTGTATGCAGGATCCAACAGATGTTTCAGACAATATTGTTCATCAAGTGTGTAAAAAATTATATCTGAACCACGAGATGCATTTGTGTAATGCTTATTATGATTAAAACTCAAATTATTACGGAGGAAAAAAATTGAAAAAAAATCAAATTATTACTTTTAAAATAAGAAGAAAAAAATATGATTTATCAGCGAAATTTTCAAATTTTGTTCAAAATATTTGAGAAACATTAATTTAATTTTTTATTTTATTTATTATACTATTTTTATGTTTAATTACTTTATGATTTTTAAAAATAGATCTCATAATATTCTGTAAAATTTAGTTTTTGTAAGGTTTTTTTTTTAATAAAACGATTTATACAAAATGATGTAGTTATTCATATGACGTTTCAATCAAAGCTTTTATAAATGTGTACCTTTTAATTTGACACGTCGAACTTTATGAAAGTAAGCTTTTTTTAATAATTTATTATGACACACCAAATCAAAATACTCATTAAATTTGCTGAAAGTATAAGTCTTGAAATAATGATGCGAGATGAGAAAATAATTAGAATACTAAAAGTAGTTTTCTTTGCTGTATTTATTTGTCGTATGTAATAATTCGTACGTAGAGACTATATCTAGCGTACGGATAACATTGTTTTTTTCTTTATAATTATAATTTTAAAACGTGTAAAAATATTAAAAGAATCATATTATCGCAATTATGCTGGGGGAGCCTTGACGCTTCGAGAAGGACTCCCCTAAACTCATCGCGTATTAGTTCTCGAAAGCATTATACATTCAACAGCTACTACCATCGATATAATACAATACGCCTCTTTAGGTAGTACGATTCGTTGATAAATTAATTGAAAACGTACAAACTAAATTGATCGGCTTACATGAAATGCCAAGTTGTTCTGCATTCGTCCTTCGATGCATATAAGTTTTAAGTAATTATAAACGGTAAATACAATGTAATACGAGCGCTAACTACAATGTAATATACTTTCTCAGCAATTATGTTTTTTTTTTTAGTATTTTGCACCGAGGTTACCTTTAGAATCGAACGAAAATTCAAGTTTTGTAACAATGCAATAATTATGTAAAATAATAACAATTTTTTTACGCTCACTTCGTTATACTTCCTTAAATTTTCGCATATCTCCTTCGTTCGCGTTTTCAAGCGTGAATCACGATTGACAACGTTGAGATTTCATTTGCGATCTTCCAATTACACTCTTACACGAATAATTCAATATTAAAAGTTAGATGGTAATTATAGACGTAAAATGCATAAAAAACAAACAAACGAATACAGTTTGTACAAAATGAAAATACTCGATCGCGTTAAAATTTGTCATTAATACATTTAATTAAGTTGATTTTTTTTCAGTGCGAAACCGTACTTTAAAACGTTTACGATTAAACTTTTGATTGTCAACGAAAATCATTCGTTTGTATACATGAAATAATAATAATAAAAAAAAGAAATATCAGAGCATACAGTATGTTAATCATAATATTCAGTCACGCATACGTCTTGTTAAGTGTATGTCTAACTTTTTTTTCTTCAATTTTGCACGGAGCCGCGTTGGATTTTATTCCGCGCGAGATAAGAAGAGCACAACGCAACAAGTCGCACACAGCAGCGACAATATTCTGAAAACATATCAACAAGTCAATTGGCTTCTTTAATCTCGCGTACTGGCGTACACTCGTCTCGTTCGATCAACGGAGCGAAATCTGCCCAAAGCGGACAACTGTAATTTGATATCTAAGCGAAGTATCGGAAGTGCAAGACACTCCGAATTTCAACGACGCAGTTGTTGGTTGCTTAAAAAATATGAACAATCGTAATCCATTGAATACTACCATTATGCGAGTCATACCTCAATAAACGTAGAAAAAAAAAAGTATTCAAATGCATAATAAATTTCCATCGACATTGGAATATCGGCTCGAAGCACAGCACGCAATATAATATATACTTTCTCGACAAAAAAAATTTGTCCCGATGTTCGTTCTTTTTTTTTTCGCAACTCTCGTATGTTTCTTCAGAATCGATATACAAGTTAAAATACAAATAATTCATTATATCTCGAAGAAAATTTGTGCGATGAATAGCATGTCACCTCAGCGCGTCTCTTTGTTTTATATATACAAATCGTCGTGTCACGATACGTAAGTTCATTAAATAATCATACAAAAAAAAAGAAGATCGATCGAGCGACGAAAGGATTTCATTCGCACAGTTTCATATCGGTAATATATTATCGATATGTACGTTCAATGCCGTGGTCTGTTCCTCGTCGTTTCTCGAATCGATCGTCGCCAACGAGAACGAAAAATTCGCGCCTATTCCCTGACGAAATTAAAGTACGTAATATAATAATTGATACAATACGCTCGCGTACTACATGCATCGATGGATACAATATACGAACCTTTCGCAATTCTCTCTGCCTGTCGGGAGAGGACGATTAAGAACAAAAAAAAAACACCTCCTCGCCACGAATAACAGGTGAAATCTCTCTCATCCGCGAATGTCAAACCGATTATCCATAAAATTGGATGAAACGCTATATTATATTTATATATATATATATATTTCCACGAGTCCGCGCCAATCGAGCGCAGGGTATAAGGAGGGGGGGTCGAATCACACGATACACGCGCGTACTACAATCCACGCACAGATATAGAATCTCTGTGTTTATACAATAATATTTACGCGTCAGCCGTGTAACGCGTCCGTGTGTTAAAAGAGCTCGTACATTTTTCTTTCTTTTTTTTTTTCAATATATAATAGACCGTGTAACACGAAAGTCGATCCGCGGCCGAGACGTCTCTCTGAGTGGCCGCGTCGAGCAGACTTTTTGTTTTTTATCGTCATTTTATTTTACTTTTTGCCTTTCATTTCGGTTATACTTGTAGGACGTTTTTGTACCCTCGCGCGCGCGCGTATGAAAAGAGTTCGGGTCGTGCGCGCGGAGAATCACAGAATGACGCAGCATCGACAGTAACGCTGCCGAGTCGCGCCGGCGCTCGGCGGCGGTGACACCGGAGCGAAGTAAGCGTGTACTTTTATGTTTGGCAGATGATTCTGTAAACCAAAAGTATAAAAAGAATTAATCATATACGAATATCGACGAATAATAATAATACTATGTATACGATGACGAAACTCACGCGTAGTCTACGTATGCCGCCCCTCGTGATCAATTGGCAGTCGTAAAGCTCGATGCGCTCGAGATTGTGGCAAGCCTGGAGCAGATGATCGAGGCTGGCGTCGGTGATGAGGGGACAGTTGTCGAGCTCGAGCACGGCCAGGTGCTCGGCGGCGCACGGCGACAGCGCCAGCTGCCTGATGCCCTCGTCCGTGATGAGCTCGCAGTGCGACAGGCTCTGCGGCGCGAAAATAACGAAAGAATTGAGTTTAACGATTCGAGCTTGCAAGGCGTGGGAGCTTGTTGACAGAGTCGTATACTCACGAGCTTTTCCAGTCGCGGACAGCCCATGGCCAGGTGTATGAGGGTGGCGTCGGTGATGAGCACGCACTCCTCCAGGTCCATCTTCTCGAGCAGTCGGCAATTCTACATAAATTCAAAGCAATTAACATTTAATCAAAAACAATATATATATATACTCGAGTGGGCGAGGTGTGCAGCCTTACCCTGGCGAGGGCCTGGAAGCCGGCGTCGGTGAAGTGGGCGCAGGCGACGCACTCGAGCACGCTCAGGTACGGACAGTGCTGGGCCAGCGTGACCAGGCTCGCGTCCGTCAGGTTCGGACAGTTGGAGATGCAGACGTAGTGCAGCGACGTGCATCTCTCGCTGAGCTCCCTCACCGCGTCGTCGCTTATGCTCTGTGTACATGGTTGTACATCGACAATATAAGCGTTTCATTTCATTTGTTTTTTTTTTTTATCTTTTGATTTAGCTCACCCTGCACTCGTGCAGATTGATGGCCTCGAGCTTGGGGCAGAATCGCGCCAGGCACTTGACCGAGCGATCCGTCAGCTGTCTACAGCCCTTGCTCAAAAAGCTCCTGAGCTGGGGACAGCCTCGGGCCAGCGCCTCCACGCCCTTGTCCGTCAGCAGCTCGCACCAGGACAGATTGACGTGGGTCAGCAATCGGCAGCCCTCGGCCAGATCCTTGAGCGAGGCGTCGGTGATCTCCGGACACGAGTCGAGATTGAGGCGCTGCAGCTTGGGGCAGTGCTGTCGGAGCGCGGCGCACGTCGAGTCCGAGATCTTCTTGCACTGGCTGAGATTGAGCTCCTCGATGTTGGGACAGGACTGGGCCAGGGTGCGCATCGAGCCGTTGCCGATGCTCTGGCAGCCGCGCAGCGACAGCTGACGCAGAAAGCCGCCGCAGCGACGCGATATGTTCTCGATGACGCTGCCCTCGACGTCGCGCTGAAAGTCGAACAGGTCGATGCGCTGCCAGTTGGAGCCGTCGAGGGCCAGGACGTTCCAGGCGCGCGACACCTGGGCGCAGCGGCATAGCGACACCACGTCCAGGTAGGACAGGATTCTGCCGGGGAAAGAGATATTCGTTGACGCGTAAATAAATAACGGTGCTATACGAGCTATGTAACGTTTGTTGTTTGTTGAATTTTACCTGAGTAACAGTTCCTTTGGCAGTTTTTTGTTGATTTGGGCTTCCTCGTCGTGAAAGGCCCATGTTAACTGCGAAGCAGGAAAATAGTGAGATTCTAATTATTGAAAGGTATGTGATGAATATGATAGGAGGTGGTCTTCTCTCTTTTCCGATTCCAGCACCGCGATATAGAAGGCGCAAAGGTTCATTCACCGAAAAGATGCTATTAATAGACACACGCGTGTGGTGGTGGGAAATCGCGACGCGTAGTTTTTCTCCTTCGCGACCTTCTCTCTCTCTCTCTCTCGTATTCCATGGAATTATAGGCATGGGGGGTGGCTGCCTTGTTTTGGTCGTATATAATGCGAGCCGATGTGCGCAGCAGTTGTCGATTTTCTCGGCTGGTTTTTTTTATCGAACGGACAAAAATATGTTTTTCCTCCCGAATCGAGCTGTCAATATTATTAGATATTAATCGCACGGGGGGGGCTGGCTCTCTCGGTTTCTCGCGAGCATTTCTTGGCATTTTTCTCTGAGTTTGGGGTATTTTTGCCGTCGACGATATATTTTTGTTGTACGTCGAACATTTTTTCGGAGAGGCAAGAGCGAAAGATTAATTATTCTGTCGACCACCGCATGGTGTTTAAACAGATATACGCGTCGTCCGCCAACGGAACAAAGAATCTCTCTCCATGCCTCGTGTCTCTTATATACGTATTTGTCTCTCAGTGCGCAAATCTGCAAAATTGATTCGCTCGCACGCGCGCAGCAGCAGCATGCGTCTGTGTACATCGTGTTTGTGTGCGCAGTACTACCTGCCACGCTTTTTACGGATAGCGCGACGAGGCTAATGTGGTTGGGTATATCTTATCGCGATTGTTTCGCTGCTTCTGCAGCTGGGAAATGCGCCTGCAAATAATATTACAACGATAATCACGTGTGTGTGTGTGTATGTATTTTTGTGTACACGTACGCAATGCGATACGTACAGAAGAAAAACGAAGAAGAAGAAGAAGAGGCAAAAAGAAGAGTTGCAAAAAATTGACGATTTATAAATTGTATACATATATGAATCGATTGCCTGTGGTGGCATCGCGAGCAAAGTAAAGAGAGAGAGAGAGAGAGAGAGAGAAGGCGAGGTGCAGGGAGGGCGGGAGGGAGAGGAAGCGAGTCGAGCCGCGAGGCGCGTTAATACAGCAAGTCGGAGCTCTGTTGCAGGCGCAGCGCACAGCACAGCACATATACATACAACAGAGCACTTGGACTCTGTGGGTGAATCAGCTGTTCAGCCTGTATAGTCAACATAGAACCCATACAAGCAAGACACCCGATGCCTCGTACGTGTGTGCAATATTCTCTCTGTATTATAGCTATACGCGATATATCCTTTCACACATGCATATAGACCACCACCACCGCGACTGTGCGTAAGTGTGTGTGTGTGTGTGTGTGCATGTGTTGCTGCTCGCAGGGCAGGATGTGTATATCTATATAGCACGTCTATATTTGTATGCGCACACAGACGTACACACGGGCACACACGTATCGAACATAGCAGAGGCTGGCAACTGAGACAGAGAGAGAGAGAAAGAAAGAAAGCGAGAGAGCACAAAGAAAAAATGCTGAAACTGTTTCCCACTTTTTTTTCTGCTCTCCTATGTATTTATTTTTCTTTCTTTATTTTTCGTATATACGTAAGTAATGCTGACGAAAGAGAGAGAGAGGCGTTTAAACGGAATTTTACCAGGAGACGACGACGCAACGAATGGCAAATATTACACATTTACAAGTCCAAGTGCGAGAGATTCTCGAGCGATCGTCGTCGTCGTCGTTCGTGCATGTCGTTGGCCCGCGACGAGAGCTAACACCACCGAGGTAATTCGCACGCACACACACGCACGGATAGAGAGAGAGATACACCATGTTCGTATCCGTGTGTGCGTTCGGTAACAAAGAGAGAGAAAAAAAGAGGATGAAAGAAAAAGAACAGAATCAACAAAACGTGCACGATTGTCGGAGCATAATGCAAGGCATATAATGTCTAATAGGTCGAGTCGCTGAAGTGCACAGTGCACACACGTATAGGCGCACACAAACGGACGATCGGTTTGTGTATGCATACATTATTAAAGGGACAGCAAATTTCGGAGCAGAGAGAGAGAGAGGGGCATATACATTTTACGACGAAAGGATGGAGTGTGGTTGTTGGTGGCGTTTGTTTACCTCGAGCCTGGAGCGCCCGGAGTGTATCATCCTTTTGCGTCGCGTTATTTTGCAGCCGAAGTTTCGGGAACGACACCCCGACACTTTCTTATGGTGAAAAAACGACTGACTCGTACTTATTTATTACGTATACTATTTAAAGCCTAAAGTTTTTAACGCACAGCAGTATTGACTGCATCAGCAGCAGCAACAACAACACAAGCAATAGTGAATTCACACTCGCTCATAACTACTGGATCGTCGTCGTCGTCGTCGTTGTTGTCGTCGTATACTACACACACACTCGGCGGAGTTTTTTTCGTCGCGATTTCTCAGCAGCAGCAGCACACGCGTCTTATTATTTATTATCTTTTATCACAGTACATAAGAGCCATCGTAGCAGTCGCAGCAGCAGCACAGGCCATGTATAGATGTAAATATTTGACTGTCTCAGCAGCAGCAGCAGGCAAGGTATAAAGAGAAACACCACAGACAGACGGACACACTGCCAGTGACAGCCGCAGCCGAGAGAAAGAGACACAGCACACGACTATACCGAGCTGCTCCGAGCAGTAGAGCTCCGAGCAGGCCGCCTCGGTGCAAGAGCAGCAGCAGCAGCAGCAGCAGCAGCAGCTCGCGGGGCTAGCGATATATGTGTATATATCGCACCATTATATATATGTGTGTACATACACACACGGAGCCACAAGAGTGCGAGCGAGAGAGAGAGAGAGAGAGAAGTGGCCGAGTCTATACTATCTGGTTTGAGGCAGTAGTGCTAAATACACATAGAGGCATGTGTTGCTCTTTTCCTCTATATGTATTGTATGTACGTATAATGTAATGTGCTGCGGAGTATACGAAGTATATAGAGAGTGCAGTGCCACACGTCGACAACTGACAGATCGGAGCAGCGGAGCGCAGAAATCTATCTATCTATCTAATGCTAATGCTCTCTCGAGCTCCTTCTTCTGCTGCTGTTTTTCTTGAAACGTCGTCGTCGTATTGCTGTTATTATCGGTCACATCGTCCGCGTAACACATCGGTGCACTGCTGCTTCTGGAGGCTCGATTTATCACAAGATCCGCTTGCGGCCAGTTTATAATGCAGTGCATTATAAGTAATAACCACACCAGCTCACATGCGATTTTTTTGTTTAGGCGCAGCGACGATGCAAGTAATAATAAGCAAAATACTACTCGAGGCACTGCACCGAGCCGAGAGTCAACGGAGAGAACGCACGACGATATTGCAATATAGTCTGCTCCTACAGACCAATGCCTGACGCAAAGTCGTCGTCTCTTATGTACGATGCACTATATACGCGCTATTATGATGTCTATTCTGCTCTCTCTCTCTCTCTCTCTTTCTGCACTCGAGCAGCTGAGCGCAATACGATAATCGGAGCTCTATACCTATATATATACACCGTGAGGGCAGATATTGTACATGCTACCGCCGCAGCCAATCCGACTCGAGCTTTGGTCGGACGAGAGACTTCAACCAATCCGTCGCGGCGGTCTACTCCGCTGCTCATGCGCAACTGCGATTGTTGACGTTTTGTTGCTTGCAGGAACTCAGCAGCAGCAATAAGTGCGAAATTCAAAAAATTATATGAAACTGGCAGCGGTAAAAAGACTCCGAATTTCGTTACTTATGCTCGTATTATTTTGTAAAAACAACGATTGCATTAACCTGAGAATCGATGCACTGGATGAACGATTGGATCGATTGGCAAATTTTTCAATGGAATTTTCTCTGCATTAACGGATAACTTCGATTGTTTTTCAAATTGTTGCATTTATTTTTTGAAACAAAACACAGTTGACGCGTAATTGTATTCGTAAGACTGCTATTTATTTATACATCGATAGTTGAATAACGATTCACATTGAGAGAGAAAAAAATTAACTACATCTGACTATATCGTATGGATTTCGATTGACTAGATTATCATTGCCAAAAATTATTTCTCTGGCTATTCTAAAAACAAATGCATTTTTTCCAAGAGCTCGTTGACCCCATCGTGACTATCATCGTTGTTGTTTTCGACCGATTCGTACCTTCCTTCCACTTCGTTCAATTGATTATGCATATTCAGCGTCATTAAAATTTCCAACAAATTACGAAGATAGACATTTTTGTTTATGAGCGTCGATTGGTGATCGGCCCTCTTACCATATCTGCAAAAAAAAAAAAACAATAATTGTAGTTGGTATAAAATTATAAAGATCAATTAATAAATCAATCGTACATGCCTTGCTTTTCCGTGCACAGTGAAGTAATCTTTTACGAGCTCCAAGTACTGTCTCAACTCTTCGGGACTTGTAAAAACTTTGGGTCTGGTGGGCCGCATCATCGCTTCCGGATTGCATTTTACAGATCGAAACTCTACCAATATCAGAGTCAATAATAAGATTGCCAATCCTGTACTTTTCATATTTTAGTATTTGACACTGCTCGCTGAAAATGAAGAAATTTTGCTTCGGTTTATTTTATTTGTAAAAAAAGGCGAGAAATTTTATTTGAAAATGTCTTTGAAAAAGAAAGTGTACACTCGTTTGGGTGAGCGTGTGAAATTTTCAAAGGGAAAACTTTTAAGCTGACTCTACGCAGTTTGTGCCATTATGAAAGGTGCCACAAAGTCTCGATTAATCTTCCTATTAACCAATGAAAACATCTCGGATGAAGGTCTACGTGGGTGGACAGCATTTATTCACAAAGAGAAGAAAAAAATTTCCCATCGTTCATTTAATCAACGCGTCGAATGAAAGGCTTTAAAGTTATTCACACATTTTAATGATTTACACGAGCGACGAAAATTTAATTGCGTTCCAGATTAATGTGAGTAACATCGAGGGCTCTCGTATGAAAAATGCTATTTCATGCATGCCTGCAGTTTTCCATTTATGCCGGGATCAATGATAAATAATTTGATTGGAGATTTTGACAGAAACTATAATAAAACTCAGCATAAACATACGTAATTGTCATGGAATGAATTTGGATCTATCTCAATTTTTATGGCATCGATGATGATAAAATTTCCTAATTTATTTTGCTTTTACGTTAATTATGAAGCAAATTGAACATCGTAATGATATCGTAATTCATCGAATTTAATATTGTAAGCAAACACACTAAGCAATAAATAAGTAGAATATAAAAATTAATTCAAATGGTTAGAGAATGCATCACACGATTCAAACAATTTTCCATCGAATTTTTTCACCGCCACGCGCAATGAAGGCTTAAAATTTATACTCACTGACTCGATTAAAACGTTTTGAATTACTTTAATTACATAATTAATTAAGATTCAGCTTAATTTACTTTCACTCGCGTAACGAGGCGCGCACTGTACTCGATCAATTACGCCTCGTACTTATAATGCCCGATGCGAATTTACAACTGCACAATTTTCCCGCATTATATGCCGGATGTTGAAATATACGCGCGTGTCACCATATGGTTGATGGCGCGATATCAATTGGCGCTTATCTATCTAATACGCGGCGCGAATCGAGCGATACACGGCGAAGAACGATTTTTCATCCGAGATTAGTCGGATTATTAGACGTGCATTCCGCGTATCACCTGAGATGATAAATGCGTCGGATATTCGCGAATGGCGTCGGGTATTATTGCGTCAAAGACATTTTTTGAATACCAGCGACGAGTTAAATTCAATTGGAACGTTCAGAATTAAAATTTTTTCAATTATTTTTACAACACTACACCAACATTTACACCTGCACTATTGAACGAGAATCATTTTTTAAAATCATAACGTGTAACAATGAAAATTCTGATGGAAAGTTGACATTCCATGCAATAGCGATTTATGTTGAAGTTGTAAAGTATTTAATTATTTAATTTTTGAATATGGTGCATCAATGCAGTATGGAAAATTGAAATAGTTAAAAACGCGTACAAGACCAATAGAAAATAAAAACAGAATAAAAACTCAACTGCCAGTAAGGATAGTTACGTGTGCGCCAGTGATCAACCTAAAAGCTTCGATGAAGATCGGCGATTCAACCGAGCTAACGAATTGACGAAAGGACAATGGATGCGATCTCTATTTTCGCACGCCGACTTGGCTGTGGTGGTGCTGCTGCTTCAGTTCACGTGCAACTTCGCGCCTGGTATGTCGCGGGTACATCGCGATTTGCGACGCCCTCGAGTGTACGAGAGCCACGCACCCCTCGCGTCTCAACTATTCCCCGTTCAAATGACGTATAAGTGATTCGATGCGCAGAGAAGAAAAAAAAAAGTTGTCTGTAACGCAACATCAATTCGAGAAAAAAAATAAAAAAGGGGATCAAAACAGACTGTTTTCTCCAGGAATTGTTAAACCAACGATGATTATCGAAGTTTATGGACGAAGAAAGTATAAATCTCTTGCACGTACGTGGCTTGAACACGATACAGCCATCTAGAGGTGATCAGTAGCAATCATCATATTCTTTCCTGCTATCCCTTGATGTTTACGATTAATTCGATCACCTGTTTGGCTTTGAATAATTTTCGATTCCTTTAATTACTAAAGAATATTTGGGCAAAAATTTATTCGTGATATACTAGGCAAACATTTTTAATGCATTTTCTGATATATATTATTTCAAAAGCTATTTAAATATAACATTTTCCATATGCGCTAGAATTCAAGTTGAGTAAATGAAACAATATATTCTATCAATGCTTGTAAAATATATTTACGTAAAAAAGTAAAATCAATTCTTAAAGTTTGCAATGAATTAATATAATATCATACTACGTATTGTAGTAAAGTCAATTCTTTAAAGTTGCAATGCATTCATGCATTACAATATCATACTTTGTATTGTTATAAAAGTACATCAGTTGTCATGTAATTACAAAATAAAAATGATATTTCAATGTATTAAATTTTTCTCAACTTTTCATACGGATATGTGTGGATATTGTAACGAATAAGAAGATGATTAAAACAAAATTTTTACCAGAATATATATTTTTTATTTGAATTAATTCAAATCAATGGTGTATTTACATATTTACAATTGTTTTTTTTTGTTTGACTAGTCTTAATTTCTTTACAAGCCAATACGCTTAGTTTTAATACGATACAATGCAGGAGTGCCTGGTTCTCTGAGTCCAGGAGTCAAAATAGCTCGTTTTCTGCCAGAAGCTTGTTCTTTATCTTTATCCGAGCTTGTATCGAAGCTTTTATTTGAACTTTTATCCAAATTCATCGGAGCTTGCCTCTTGGTCTTGCCGAGTTTGCCTGTCTTATTGATACTGAAAAACATGTGTCCAAAAGCCGTAACACACTTGACGTACTCTTTGGACGTCATGATCAGTTCATGGTAAACTACGTAATCGGGGGTAGAGCCCATTCCAAAAAGAGCCGACGTCGAGCGAAGATGGCAAGGCATACCGGTACGACAATTCACATACTCGCCGATACCTTTGAGACGAGCCGCTTGGTGGAAATATGCCGAGCAAATACACTTGCGAACCGGATCCCACTCGGTATCGCAACTGGCGACATTCACCCTTTGTTGCTTCATGATTTCTTCGAGCTGTTGGCGAATTTCTCGAACTTTGCGCATAGCTTTGGCATGGATGAAATTTTCCGTACACCAGGAGCTGGAATATCCATTGGATTTCCACTGGTTGTAGACGTTCAAATAGGTCAAGTGAACCGACTCAGGCACCTGGAACTTTTCGCGCTTCGAGTCCGAGTCCTCCTCGCGACCTTTGGGCCGGTAGAATATGGCGGAAACCGAGAGCATCGACACGATGGTCAAGATCTCGGACGCGCAGCCGAGATTCGACGCGACTATCAGCATCTTACTCTGGGGCGGATCGAGCGGGAAGTCGGCCATCTACCGTCCCAAACCGGTCAGCTGGTCGTCGTTGTCGATGGCACCGAGCATCCAGAGCTGGTACAGCGAGTCGAGAATGTTGTCCTGGGGCGGCGCGTCCATGAAGGGGAAGCGCAACAGATCAGCAACCTCCAGCGACTTGAGCAGCAGCACGGCCAGGTTCGTGCGCTGGATCTCGGGCACGCTGGCCTCGAGCAGCTCGTCCAGGTACTGGCGCTGCGTATACGCCTGAGGACCTCTTTGAGGAGGCCGATCAGTACGTCGGTCGACAGCGAGCGCTCGTGAGCCTCGTCCATTATAATGACGCTGTAGCGATCGAGATCACCTTCGCGCAAACTCTCTCGCAGCAGAATACCGTCTGTCGTGTACTTGATGATTGTCTCTGGGCTTGTGCAGTCTTCGAAACGAATTGCGTATCCCACTTTGTCCCCTAGCTTGGAATCCATCTCATTGGACACCCTCTTGGCTACGCTCATGGCAGCTATTCTTCTGGGCTGAGTGCATCCAATTATTCCGTACTTGGTGTACCCATCTTCGTGTAGGTATTGAGTCAGCTGAGTAGTTTTAACACTGCCGGTCCCTCCAACTATGATGACTACTTGATTATCCCTTATAACATTCAGCAGTTCTTGCTTCACGCCAAAAACAGGCAGGCTTCTCCTTTGCTCTTGGATTTTTTTGAATTTGGATTGAGTCACTTGGTCATCTACATGACTCGCATATTTTTGTGCACTTTTATAATGGCATTCTTCACTGGGAACCTCTACATCTTCTTTCTTGCAATCTTCCACACCCATGATATTTCCAAGATTTGTACCAGTCAAGTTCCAATGCTTCTTTTGCGCCTTTCTCCTTTCTTTTTCTTCTCTGTGGAGAAAAACCAAATGTGATCCCTTCTTGGATAATAAAGCCATTGGTGACGTGTTACGTCTTTTACAGGTATTTTGGGTTCAGGTTGCTTTGTGAAGACAATACGACCATCGAGGAATGGAGGAACAACATTGTGCACAAGGAAATGTACTTTGGCTTCTTCTTTGTGGTCAACTTCATCATTGACAATTGTTGATTTGAAAATTCCAGAAGAAAACATTCTGTTTTCTTCCCATTTAAGATTGTCTCTGTTTTAATGGTGTTGCATAGCTGACATTTTCTTTTTTTTCTTTTTTATCTTTTCTTCCAATTCTTCTTCTTTTTTCAGATCATATTCTTCTGAAACATCTTCAAAGTGTGTGTTTTCATCGTCGTACCAGGCTCGGTCAAGTATTTTCTGCTCCTGTTCCCAAGCTTCTATATCTGCTTGATCTGCTAATGGAGTAGCAACCGATGGCTTGCGATCTTCAGCTTAAGCATTGTACTTATAAGATGCCGTGAATTTGCTCCTCACGCTATCTGCAACATCTCTGTACAAACGAGGAGTAGAGTGATCCCAAGTGGATCTTTTTCTAGGCGTTTCATATTCATCTTCATCGTCCCAAGGTGATTTTGATGTTCCATCCTTTGCTTTGTAATAACTCGGTGTAGATGGTTCAACGCTGAAACTTGCTGTTCTTTCTCTACGACTGTTCTGATCTTTTTTGTAATTAGCTCTCCTTCTGTCGTGATTCTTTCTATTAATCCTATGGTCTAACCTCTCTTTTGCCTTTTTATCAATTCCACCAGTATATTATGTTGGTGTTTCTTCGGCATGGCTGTGATATTTTCTTTTTCTATTTTCTTGAGATACATCTCTTATTGAAGGTTTCAACTCGAGAGATCTTTGCCTGAGTTATGGTTCTGTAAGTTTATCTAAGCCATACATTAACATTTGAGGTTTTTTGAAAATAGCATCCTTATGAGATTTGATGAAACCACCACCCCTGCTGCAACCCTCCAACACGTGGCCGGATACGAATTCCATTTTTATTTGGATACGAAATAGGTTATGTCACTTTGTAATTGTTGGTGTATAACACACTTTTTAAGAACAACAAAGCAAATCACACGTGGCTAACTATTTACGTCTACGCAGGTTTACTACTTAGATAATCAGAACTCAGAAGACTAAACTCAAGAGCTATAGGCAGCTTCGAAAGGCTTCGAATGAATTACGACACACGAGTCTGTGGGAGCAGAAGCACGCCTGTCGGTGTGCGGCCACGTGCGGGACTTATTTCATTTGTAAGTGCTGCTCTTTTGGTAATGACGACTGGTGTCAGAGGTAGACATGTTAAAAGAATTTACCACAATGAAAATACAAAAACATATAGAGCAATATTCATTGGTAAAATTCCATTTACTAATGAATTTTATGAATTTCCACAAGGACAAGCTATTTTTATTGCAAAAGATTCAAAATTGGCGAAATTCTTTACTCAAAATCAATAAGAAAAAAATCCTTTTATTTGAAGATCATTTTAAAATGCACAATGACTTTAATAGTTTATTGAAACCTGGGCAGTTATAATGTAAAATTTATTTTAAATAAATATCATTGCATAAATATATATTAAATAAAATTTGTGTAAATTTCTTAAATTTTTTTTGTATTACTTTCAATAGTTATATATTTGGTAAAACACTTATTAGCTTTAAGAGTGAGGAAGGAAATAATTTGTTACACAAATGATTATTTACAAAATAATATTTTATTTTTTTTCTTATAATTGAACATATTTGCTTATTTGTTCATATGGTATTCGTTTCACTAGTTTTTTTTCATCTTTTAATGTTACATCAACACAAAATTCATCTTCTCTAACTTTTTCAAGTACAGCCAATTTATCACCATATTTTCCGTATAAAATCATTACATCTCTACCTATTGATGGAATGACTGTTTCAAGATGTTGTTCATCTATTTTAACAATATGTCCTGCTACTTCCTCTGGAGATTGGAGCTTCACTTTACCAACAAAACTATTTTTATCAATAGTTTCTGTAAGAATCCCTTTTGATTTATAATATTTGTCTCCTAGAGATTTTGTGATTATCTTTACAGATAGCCCTGGTCTTAGCCAACCTTTGTTTAAATCTCTTTCGTCTTCATCTTTTTCTTTTTTTACTCTTTTAGAAATAGATGATTTTTCATCAAATGAATCCAATTTTCGTTTGTTACTACTTAATGGTTCTTGTTTGATTTTCACAGCCAAAGTTTCTTTTTTAGTTGGTTTAATAATTAAACCTGTTTTGGGTTTTAATTTAATATCAAGTACTAAAGGTTCATCTCCTGTTCTTTCCAACGGTTTTTTAAAGTCAACTTCTGTTTGGGCTTTCTGTTTTAAACAGATAATATCTTTCTTCATTTGCTTTTTGATAAAGTCCATTGTTTTCTCTTCATCATCACGGTCCATTTTTTCTTTTTTTTCTGAAGCAGCTCTTGTTTCAGGATCTTTATCAATATACGTCACAAACCAACCTTTTTCTGTTTCATCAACAACACACTTTCCAGTTCTACCCAACCATTTTACAAAAGCTGTTAACGTTAACCACTGTGTTGCATTCATATGTATATGATCTCTATCAGCTATATAATCTTGATATACCCTATTTGCTGGAACTCGTTTGGTTCCAAATTGCCTTTTAAGCAAATACAAATAATCATGAGAAAACTCCTTGGAAAATTGGTCCATGTATTTATGTGAATTCTCAGCAAATAATAGAAGCTGACGGTGATGTGATTCTGACATTGTATGGCATTTAAAGCCATTTTTATCTCTACATTGTTTTTGGCACATTTGGCAGTACCATTGCAATTTTTGCAAACCTTTAGATTTTATTTTATTGGCAATATATTTTGGTGTGCCAAATTCGTGCTTTCCCATATTGATAGTTTTTCTTTGGATTGGCTGAAGTACACTCAAATTTGACCACAATGAGTAAATGTTTTTATGCAGCACTGAATCACTTTTCACAATTATGAAGAAATGAATTGCACAATGGCAATAAAATTCGTGACTTAAGTCAGTGAATTTAATTTCGGCCAATATGAGGTAAACTAA